ATGTATGTATGTACCGCCCTTCTCCCTGAAGGGATTCAGAGCAGATTACAGCATATAAACTGACACAGGCAAACATGCCTTGTTACAATGAAATAAAATGAGACACAAACATAAAATACAAAACAAAAATCACACAAAGCATAATAGCATCCAGAAATTTATTTATTTATTTATTTACTGCATTTGTTGACCGCCGTTCTCAGCCCTAGGGCGACTCACGGCGGTTTACAACATATAAAAACAGTTTACAACAAGGGCATATCACAACAACAATCTCAACATAACAATCAACAATACAAATTACACTAAATCATCCGCGCCGTCTCATTGTAGAATCATAAACCAATCTCGTTGTCCATATTCCGTTCCAGTCGTCGTTGCTAATTGTTGTAGCACTTAGTCAAACACCTTCTCAAATAACCATGTCTTTAGTCTTTTGCGGAATGTCATGAGAGAGGGCGCCTGTCTGATGTCTGCAGGGAGGGTGTTCCACAGCCGGGGGGCCACCACCGAGAAGGCCCTATCTCTCGTCCCCGCCAGGCGTGCCTGTGAGGCAGGCGGGATCGAGAGAAGGGCCTCCCCAGACGATCTCAAGGTCCTCGTGGGCTCATAGGCCGAGATGCGGTCAGAAAGGTATTTTGGGCCGGAACCGTTTAGGGCTTTGTAGGCCAACACCAGCACCTTGAATTGGGCCCGGTAGCAGATCGGCAGCCAGTGGAGCTGGAACAACAAGGGCGTTGTGTGCTCCCTGCGTCCCACTCCTGTTAGTAACATGGCAGAAATAAGATATAAATAAATATTAAACATTAAAAACATTTAACACCTATTACAATTATTGTGGAGACTCATCAATTAAATAGTATATTTCACTAACCTCAGTTATCAGTGATAAACATGAGCCAGTGAGAAAATTAAGAGACATCTCCACAATAAATAAATAAAATGTTAAAGAGCATGGGGAAAAATCTGAAAACAGACAAAAACAAAAGTCCCCACTAAAGCCCAGGAAGAACAGAGTCAAAAGTTGAGCATCAGCAGAGAAGTCAGTTGCCCCAAGCCAAACCAAGCCTGGTTTCAGTACTAAGTTGATGGTCAAAGGGGGGCTAGTTGGTAAAATTCCCCAGTACTGTCATCCTATAAGGTATCAGTGACTTGAAGCAACTTTGGGCTATGGCTAGCCAGCGGAAAGTTCACAGTACAGTAGTGGGAAATGGCAATGCTGCACCAACTTCTCCAGGTCAATGCTGGGCAGTGGGAGGGAAGACCTAGCGGAGCACAGTTCAGGGACGCTGCCAATACCCAATTGGCAGCTTCCTTGAACTGTGCTCCGCTCGGTCTTTCCACTCATCGCTCTCACCTGGTGGTTGGGTCTGTGTGACACCATAGGTGCCCCGATGTAATTGGGCCCTCAATACAATATTAGTCATTCGGGCTTTTTTATCTTACCTAATGTGGATCCTAATTGTTCTAGTTTTTTTTTCAAACCTTTTGATCAGCATTTGCATTCCTTTTTTCTATAGTAACATTGATGGAAACGTTGCATAATCTTTTCATACAAGATGCCTAACTCATCTAGGTAATTATAGCTTTGGCGGTGGCATTTCTGGCATTCCAGTTCAGTTGTGATTGTTTTATTTTAAGAAGAAGCTCATTATTTTTTAAATGTTTTAGCTGCTTTGAGCTGTTGTTTTTTGCATCATTTCACATTGCAAGGTATAAATTATTTCTAAGAATCAGTGCACTCATTTAGCACAGTCTAGATAAGGTTGGCCAAAGTACTTTGGCCACATCATGTACTTTGGCCACATCATGAGGAGACAGGAAAGCCTAGAGAAGACAATTATGCTGGGGAAAGTGGAAGGCAAAAGGAAGAGGGGCCGACCAAGGGCAAGATGGATGTATGGCATCCTTGAAGTGACTGGACTGACCTTGAGGGAGCTGGGGGTGGTAACGGCCGACAGGGAGCTCTGGCGTGGGCTGGTCCATGAGGTCACGAAGAGTCGGAGACGACTGAACGAATGAACAACAACAACAGATAAGGTTGGGATATTCTTGGTAAATATGATTACATTTTATTGAGATCACTTCTTACCAGCAGACCATCTTCTTTTAAAAGGAGAAAAATATTTTAATATTAATGCTTGCTTTAAGCCATGTTAGAGCCAGAGAGAGCCTCTGGGTATGTTCACCATGTTAACTATTATTTGCCATGCATTGCATTAAGCATTAGCCACTCATCTAAAGGTGTTTTAGTCATTCCTTCATCCCTGTTCTCAGGTCTTACTAGATTATGCATTTGTGTAGGCTCAACAAGTTGGTCAGTTAGGTGTCCTTATATAAAGACCTTGTGGGAAGGCATGCAAAATGGTAAAATATATCAGTATTAAGTCTTTAGATTTTATTTTATCTAAATTATCCCGGCAGTGTTGCTAATGGCAATTCCTTTTGTAAATGTTTCTGTATGAGGTTAAAGTTATTATTAGCTTGTTGAATCTGCTACTGTATATGTGTAATCCTGTCACGATTAATTATTAATCCATTGTAGATTAATCCAAGACAAAGCCAACAATAGTAACTGGGATCTGTTTTATAGCTGCTTTGTTCACTTCATTGCTGGTTACAGAACCTCCTAACGTGTCAACACATGCTCCAGTCAGGGCTAACAAATCAGAACTGGACTTCAACAAAGACAAGTGTAAGGTCCAACAGAATACCAAAATAGTGACAGCAAATGCTTTCTGTGCCCTTCGGGTTTTGAATCTACACTGTGTTTTAGTCTGAACTTTAAGGGAACTATCTAAGTGCTAAATCTATTTTGCTGATAGCATTCAGTACTTTGAATAGTTCTTTTCCATTTCAGAACTAAATCGCATTGATCTGTGCAGTTTTACAGGGTTTGGTTTTGTCTTTAACGCTATTTAACATGTATGTAGACCTCTGAGAAAGGCCGTCCAGAGTTTTGGAGTTCAGTTCTATCAGAATGCAGATGTCACTTAGCTCTGTTACTCTTTTCCATCTTGGTCCAAGGAAGCTGTTTTGATTCCAAACCAGTGCCTGTTGTCTGTACTGTTCTGGTTGAGGGAAAATAAACCAAAATTTAGTCCAGAGAAAACAGGGGTGCTTTTGGTAAGTCAAAAGGTGGATCAGAGGGTGGAGATTCACCCTGTGCTGGATGGGGTTGCACTTTTCTCAAATAGGCAAGTTCTCAATTTGTGTCCTAAATTCAGCCCTTCGCCTGGAAACTCAGTTATGTTCAGTAGTGATTTGGTTCCTGCCCCACCCCAAATGGATATCAGAATCCATGGATGCTCAAGTCCCATTATGTACAATAGCATAGTAAAATGATATATTTTATATGAAATTGTAAAAAAAATTTTTTATTTTTTCAAAAAATTGTTTTTACTGTGGATGGTTGAAATCATGGATGCAAAATTTGTGGAAATGCTACGACTTGAACTTTCTAATTTCGAAAAGGCCAGAGAACTTTCAGGTGTGTTTACAAGCCCTTAAAATACTCCTGTATCTCTTACTTTCTCTTTATCTTCCCTCAAGGAAATGCACAAAGTCACTGTTGAGCTGCTTCTCTTCTTGAAACTTTCCTGTAGCCAGCCAGGGTTTGGTTTCTGCATGTATGCATGTTTGACTGTACCTTTGGGTGTAATTAGTCATGTTTTAGCTATGAAACTTGCTTACTGTCTATTTGCTTTACTATGATAAAAGTAGTCTCAGAGAGACCCAAAGAGATTCAGTATGCCAAAGGAGGCTGAGTCTTAATGGAACCTGCTTTTGCAGAAAAGAGACGGCTACCACCCCAAGAATATGCTAATGTCATTTGAAAGGTTGCATTCTTTATTCCCTTTTTTCCAATAGAAATTACATTTGCATAGGCATGTAGAAGATTGTACTCTAAAGCTACCTGTGCAGTTGTAGGTTGAGTTTTTCTGATGTACTAATGAGCAGTTGATGGTGATTTCATGCTAAATATTAAGCATCTCAATTTATTATCTGTTATTAAGTCATCAGTACTGCAGTTCATTTCCGCACAGCTCTATTACAAACTCAAAAAATTAGAGGGAAAGTTTATGTTTTTATATCTGGAAAATCTAGCCTTTTTCACACTAATTATTGAACATCAGATTATAGGATTACTATTATTTTTTGCAATGACTTTCACTTAGTGGCAAAGGTATGAATGTTTTTCTCAGCCAAAGCACCAAATCTTTCAGGAACACTGATTATTGCTGATACATTTCACCTTTTTACTTTTGAGATGTGGAAATAAACCACATGTCCTATTTCACAGTTGACATTTACTCCTGTTTGGTTTACATGCATGCAGAACAACAAGCAATTGATCATTAGTGTAAAATTAAACTTTTGAAACAAAGTGTATGCTATAGCATCTATTTTTCTTACTGAATTGAGACATAAGGGAGATTATTTATTTTGGACACACATAAGCATAAGGCTCTTCCATATCTCAGTTTCTTAAGGCATAGTATGATAATTCCTCCTAGACAGTTGAATCCATGGACAAAAAGTATAACTGGTTCTCACTTGATTTTTAAAGTATGTTTTTAGCTGTTTGTCCACTGATGCTTATTGCTTCTCAGTTTATATTACAAATATCTCAACTTTGGTCATTTCAGTTTCTCAAACTTCTTGAAGGAAGAATGTATTCTGTATTCCCCATTGCTTGTCAATATCACACACAAGTAATGTCACTCCCTTTCCCAAGTACCATAATGAGCACAGCTTGTATACAGGTAATTACAGTATCTATCTAACAAATAAACCTGTTTTCATGAAGAAATTTGTGCTTATGTATTGAACAGCCACATTATATTTTTCCACATTCTTGGTCTTTAGAGACTGTGGAAATGCATTTTCCTTAGCATTACTTTTATCAGTTTAGATCAGGTTTTTAAATATTTTATTAATGTTGAGGGTTTAAAAAAGATTGCAGGTATACTCACCCTAGTTTTCTGTTTTTTCCATAGTTACTATTACCTCAACTGGAGAAAAAGGTAAGACTATTTCTCTGCATATCATGCAGTGTTTTTGTCTTCTTTATTTCTGTATGTATAACTTGCTTATAGAATCTGTCAAACTTAGATTTGTTACTTTTTGTAAAGATTTGCTGTTGATTGCCCATCTATACTGCAGTTTTATGCTCCAAAAAAAAGAGAGCCATGTCTTTGAAGTATGGCACGTAGGAGGAATCAGCCGGCTTTCAGAAAATGTTGGCGGGTGGTTTGTGTTCTGAAATAGCAAAAGTTCCAGAACTGGGTGTGGAGTGTCTTGAAAACAATACAATAGCTTTATCCATGGATTCAATATCCATGCTTTCACTTACACTCCAACTTCCCCTTCCCCCAGAAGTTTTGTGGGCCTCTCAAATCCCTTCAGTGTGATTCTGTGCTATGTCTGCAGCTCAAGTGAAGTCAAAATGTAGTGTTTACTATTACCCACAGTTTCAGGTATCCACAAGAAGTCTTGGAATGCAGACTTTCTGCATTTCTTTTAAAAATTACAATTTTAAAGACAATTCCTGAAACTTCATGGCCATGCTACAAAGGTTAGTATATAGTTCCCTACCACCTTAAGCCAAATGGTTTCCCCAGGGAACTATGTTCTCCAAAAGAATTATAAAATGAATAGAGTGTATATAATGAAAATTCTCAATAGAATAATTTCTCACACTACCAAAGAACAACATCTACAAATAATGTCCAAATTTAGTGGCCTACAAACCTTTCTTTTACAGCAGTCACCTCTGTAAATTTTTGCAGAGTGCCTCTACTTTTCTTTCTTGTCAGTGACAAGCTGTCCTTTTCCTAACATTAAAGAGAAGCTAGCAGTGCATTCTTTCCTAGAAACTTATGTCTCCCGTCCACCTTTCTGAATATTAAATATTCTCCCACTTCCCTGATAAATCACAACATGTGAACCATTTAGGAGGTACTATGTTTATTTCTCCCAAATAAAGCCGCTTCAGATGTTTCTCCCCTCTGCAGCCCAATTCGTTGTGGTTTTGGTTCTTTGTGTATGCGTTTGTGTTTTCCTAATCATTCCCCAGGGAGCAAAGAGTTAATCTGATGCATTTCTTGCCTTTTTGGTATAGAAAGTAGAAAGTGAGAGTGAGGGAGAAAAATCCAGTTGTAGGTGGGGCTTAAACTGGAAATAGTGACTTAGAGGTCAAGAAGCCAGCACTAAACTGTAACAGGGAGAGTGGTAATTGCCTCCCACCTTCCCTGATCCAGTTAGTCAGCTTACAGAGCTTCCTGGTCTTTTAAAAGAAGCTTTACCTGTGGTTCAAATGAAGTTGCAGCTGCTTATTGACTAGCATATATTTGGAGCAATCTTCGAGCGTAGAGTGGAGATTAGGATTTCAAATGGTTTTTAGCAACAATTATTACTGAGCTTCAGGAGACAGTTAAGTGCTGTGGAATCGCTTTCTACATGAGAAGGGAGATAAATTAAACACACTCCTCTTACCAACACCAGAGATATATTGAACATTTTGTGGCCCCACCAGCTGGACCTGCAGTATTCCAAGGAAGAGAAAAGAAAGGAAAGGCACCTTTGACACCTTTCAGAGTCACTTTCACACAATTCTGCTCCAGCTTTTTCTGACAGCTTCCTTTCCTGAGAAGTCTTACTGCCACGATCAAAGACTTCCTCAGCCTGGCATGTTGATAAGTTTGTTTTGGAAGGTTGTCTAGGAGAAGGAATGGGTTTGACAAGTATAAGCCTGAGATGTGTATGTTTTGCCCATCCCTAGTTTCATTAATAACTCTATGCTAGTTGGGAGCATTCATGTTGTATAATTCCTATCCCTACTTATAAAATGTATTCCTGACCTGCTTTCTTGCCACTTTGTTCTTATCACTTTTTCCTGTTCAGTGTTCATATTTTGTTAGTTTAGTTTTTCCCCTTTGTGTTTTCTTCTATCTGAACCAGTAATATAGTATCTTATAAAGAAACATGTCCTTGTTCATCCCAATGTCTATAGAAATACAGTTCTTGGTTTTAAAATTATATACACAGAATGATGATCTTACATCTGAGCAATCTGGCCTTCAACTCCCAGAAATCCTAACAGCTGATAATAAATTGGGAGTTGTAGGCCAAAACCTGGGGACCCACAGGTTGAGAACCACTGCTCTAGGCTGAGAGGGTTTACCTTGCCCAAGGTAATCAGTGGATCTCCATGGCTGAATGGCGGGTTTGAACTCTCATACACCACAGATACATTCTAATGATCAAGTTCCCACTCCGTAATTCTGGATTTTAGAAATCAGATTTTATAGTGGGGTCTGTACTTAGAGTAGATTCTCTAAGAGCTGAAACATAAACATTGGTGTTTTGGTTGTTTTGTTTTTTTAAAGAATACATTTCAATTACATTCTTAAATCCAAGCTTTTCCTCTGATTCTTGCAATATAAGTATTTTTGAGGCATTTAAGAGTTCTGCATAATGGTGTATAAAATAAATGTAGTCAGTCACAGGACTGTCTAGCCTGTGCATATTGCCTAGGCAAGCAAGTTGAATCCTTCAGTGTAATTGCATTGGAGCTTAATTGTTTATCTTCTTAAACTTTCATTCTTTATCAGCTTGGAAAAGTAGGTCAACAGTTTCTCCTTTGATATGAAAGAGGAAATAACATGAAATATTTAACATTATGCGGCAATTCCAACCCCTTCCCACAATCAATCTCAGAACATGGTGTGTTCACTATTTTTCAAATTCTGTTTAGAAAGAGAATATGTTCAGTTATTGAAATACAACATCGCCTTCTGGATTTAAAAGGGTGCTAATTAGTGTTCTGTTATCTTCTTAATGTAGCTTAAATATACCTGTTTTGAAAATCAGGCTGGATTAAGAACAGTAAGGACAGTGGCTGCACTTTGCAGACTTATAAATGATGTGGGGATTCCTGACAAGATAGAACAGGTTTTGGTCTTGCTTATCCTCATAACTAAATCCTGGTAAATCCCAGAAAAGTTTGTACTAACTACAGGGCAGTGGGTTCATGCTACTACAGGTTAAATATCCCTTATCTGAAATGCTTGAGAACAGAAGTATTTCAGTTTCCAGATTTTGGGGGGGGGGGGGTTATTGGAATATTTGCATATATAACGAAGTGTTGGAAATGAGACTCATGTCTAAATGTGAAATTCATTTATATTTCATTCACATTTTATACACTTAGCCAAAAGATTGTTTTAGTTACCATATTTGTAACAGTTTTGTGCATGAAACAAAGTATGTATGCATCAAACCATCAGAAAAACAAAGGTGTCGCTATCCCAGCCACTCATGTGAACACTTTGGTATTTTGGAACATTCCAGACTTTAGAATCTCATAAGGGGTGTTTAATCTGTTCTTGGGCTATAGTTTCAACAGTAATTAGGTGAGGGGTACATATTAGAAAGAGTTGGTAAAGGCAAAGGTTTTCCCCTGACATTAAGTCCTGTCGTGTCCAGATCTGGAGGTTGGTGCTCATCTCCATTTCTAAGCTGGAGAGCCGGCGTTGTCCATAGACACCTCCAAGGTCATGTGGCTGGCATGACTGCATGGAGCGTCGTTACTTTCCCGCCGGAGTGGTACCTATTCTCACATTTGCATGATTTTGAACTGCTAGGTTGACAGAAGCTGGGGCTGATAGCGGAAGCTCACACCGCTCCCCGGATTTGAACCTGCAACCTTTCGGTCAACAAGTTTAGCAGCTCAGCAGTTTAACCCACTGCGCCACCAGGGACTCCATTAGAAAGAGTGCTTGATACTTAAAAGAACTAATATAATTCTTCCCAGTATAATAACAAAATGTTTTTTCATTCATGAATGAAAAGATGTATAACAAATTAATTCATAATCTGGTGCTGTACTCTGAACAGTGAACACAATGGATATTCCCATAACAATTATTATTGGTGTTATTGGAACCAAATGTTAAATGCATTCAGTGCTTTGAGATGGATTGCTTTTTTAAATTCATTGAATGGTTAAAAGATTTTCTCCATCACTTTAAATATTCTTTGGGAATACATTGTTGCTTCAAACCCAGGCTCTTGATTTTTTCTAAATATAAATATGTATTATTTGATAGCCTAGAAACTCAATTACAGCTTAACATGAACAGCCTAAATCAAGGACAGTTTTACTGCTATGTACATCATAAATATGACCATTTCTTTTTGCAGTTCCAAACATAACTGGAATGATAGTTTGCTTCAGCCAACTTTAGATTCTAAATTTTTGAATATGTATAATAAACAAAAGTCAAATGAAATTTATATGATTCCCAGTAGATATTCATGAAAAAAAAACATTAAAGTGCAAACGTTTTTCTCAAATACCCATTTAATATAAACATTCTTACAGTCCAAGTATATGGATAATGGATTTCCTAAATTAACTAAAGTGTTGCCTTTCCACTCTTTCATGAGCCATTCTGCAATAACCAGAGAATGTACTGTAAAGCCCAAGATACTCTAAGGGAGTATCTACACTACACTATTTACGGTACCCCAGAGGAGAGGAGAATGATGGTGCTCAAGCCAAGGCTGCTTAGGGTATATTAAGATAGGAAATAACTGCACACAAAACAAAAAGCATAGTATTTTAGCATAGAACGTTGATGATTTTTGTCCCTCTTTCTTGCTTGTTTTTTTCAAGTGTGAACAGTAAGCAAGAAAAGTATCTTTAGATCAAGTACTCAGAATTTTCCAATTTCAGAAGTATTAGAGAGATAAGTGCTTTTCCAAGAAATATACATTTACTCGGTAGTCATACATTTCATAATCCATAATTTAAGAACAACTTGAAAGCTCTAGTAGTCAGAAGACATGAATTGGAAATTTATGATCCTGGTAGATTCATTGCAAAAAACAATTACTGATGTCCATATCCATGCAATAACTTTATTTAAGCCAACTGAAAATATGATGCAAGGTTTTGAATTCTTCAGAACTCTTTGTCAGACTAAATGGTCAACAAAACAAATGTAGAGAAGATGTGAAAAAGTATCTGATATTGATGACGGCCAGTTTCCATCAAGTTGCAAACTTAAAACAGAAGGTTCAAGGGGATTGCAAACATTCAAATTAGACTCTACAAGATACAAGGTGGTTTGAACATACACCAACATACACTTGTTTCTCTGGGAAGGAGAAACAAGCAATAGCTGTTCACCCATTTTAGAAAATATGTATTTTGGCAGTTCTACAAACCCACACGATCCCTTCAATCTTCCAGAGAGGCCCTTCTCGCACTCCTGCCTCCATCGCGAGTGCGACTTGTGGGGACGAGGGAGAGGGCCTTCTCTGTAGTGGCCCCTTGGCTCTGGAATTCACTCCCCAGAGATATTAGGCAAGCCCCCACCCTGGCAATCTTTAGGAGGAGCCTGAAAACTTATCTGTTCCAGTGTGCCTTCAATGATTGACTGTACGATAACTCATGACCAAACTCTGCATAAAATGCCCTCAGAAGCACTTTATTTTCTGGTTTGTGCAATTAAATCTTACCTTATCCCTCGGATCCCCTGTCCTGATATATTACATTGCCCTATCACCCAGTGGTTTTAAAATTTTAACCTTTGAAATTGGCCCTGCCCACTATGTTCATTTTTAGTGTTTGAATGTGTTGATATTATATTGTTGCGCTGTTTATTTATATTGGTTTGTATTTTATGTTGTTTTATTTTATTTTTGTTTTGTTCTTGTATTATACCGTGTTATTGTACTGATGGGCGTGGCCTCATGTAAGCTGCCCCAAGTTCCCTTGGGGAGATGGTGGCGGGGTATAAACAAAGATGATGATGATGATGATGATGATGATGATGATTATTATTATTATTATTTGAAACTTGATCAAGCTAGATGGGAAATAAGGGCAGCAGGGGCAAGGAAACATGGAAAGGATAGACGTGTTTGACATTGAAACCATGAAACTTGCAGATAGAGCCCATGGATGATCCTGGTGAGATATGGGGGCATCCCTTCGGAGCAAATTCTGGATCCCTGTGCTTGTGATGACTTGCCAACTCTAAAGCCTACAATAATAAATATAGCATTTATAACCTTCGGCCTCAGTCGCCAGATGCTTTACCCATGATTGTATTAACTCAGTGGCTCAATTTAGACATCAGATAAACAGGAGATAGCATTAAAAGGCCAATATCATAGTTTCCATTTCTAAATTACAGTGAAGGTCCATATATATGGCTATTGACTGTGTTTTTAAAGCATCAATTGAAATGTATTGTCAAAGGCTTTCATGGCCAGAATCACTGGGTGTTGCAAGTTTTTCGGGTTGTATGGCCATCTCACAACCTCTGAGGATGCCTGTGAAACGTCAGGAGGGAATGCTTCTAGAACAAGGATCAAAAAACTTACAACAACCCATCAATTGAAATGTTATATTTGCTTTAATAGTTTATTATGTCCACATAGCATGTTAAACTAGACTGGTTTTTTTTAATAAAGTCTTAATATAATTAAAGTCAAAATGAGTTAATTATTAATTCAAGGCAACCTATTCCCTGTCTCAAAATCAGTTTTTTGTCCACACTATCCTATTTAGCAGTGATTTTTTTACTGTTTCATTGTTTAGAATGTGCTGGAATTGCATGCATTTGCCATTTTGCAGTAGTGACTTCAAATTTATTTTGCTAAAAGTGGAAAAAATAGATGTGTTTTACATCCTAGCCATTGCATGCTTTTATTATGTTTCTTCTTTTTTAGCTGTACTCACTGAAACCTTGCTTGTATTTTATTTTTATTGCAGTTGTCTACCTTGTGATTTTTCATCTGTCGTTTGTCATGTTTGTGTGGTCCTATTGGAAGACTATTTTTACATCTCCCGCCTCTCCTTCCAGTGAGGTAAATGTTAAAATTGACAAAATGATGCCACTCTTACTGAATTGTTTTTGTTACTGATGCTTGCTTTAAATTATAGTACTGCTTGCTTTTTTAGTGTTTCAATTTAGTTAATAATAGCATTCCATCGCTGTGAATTAAAATCGTGTGTTTACTTTCTAAAACAAACATGTCATTTTAATTAATCTGGATGTTAATTGTTTAACACTTCCATATAAAGTAACCCATGAAACAGAGATTTGATTATTACAGTTTCTTAATCTGGTATTTTAAAATACATTGTGAGTGTATGTTCCCAAAGATCCTTATAATAACAGCTTCCCATTAGTCTCACTAACAAGTCTTACATTTGTTTCAGTAGGCTGATTGTTGTGAATAGACTTCTGAGAAACTTAAAGGATACACAACAGGACCCATCAGGATGAAGTCAGCTATTGTGCTGAGTTATATTTCATAATCACCCTTTCCCAACCAAATAGGGGGGAAAGTAAATGTGCAGCACAATGCAAACAAATTACCACATTCTCTGGATATGGTACCATAGTCTACTTGGGTAAATTAAATTGAAATGACTCTTCCTAAAATTGTATTTATATGCTGCTGGATGACTAACTACTGGGACAGAAAGAAGTGATATTGTTGTATTTTAGTATCCTTGTTCAAACTTTGATGTTTGTCTCCTTAAATGTTCAATACAATTACATTTAATTACCCCAGTCTTCATTGTAAGTCTGATTGGTTTTCTTTCTTCACCAGAATTTAGCTTTATGTATTCTTATAGCTAAAAACATTTCTGTACAAAGAGTTTGCTGGGCTGCAGTGACTAGAAGGATGCATTTTGTATAGAAGGCTATCTGCTGTCTAGATCTGCATGTTCTCAGCATTAATTAGATTCTTCTGTATGCAGCTAACACAAATACTGTGACTGGTATTAATTATGCAAAAGCTTCCATTTGTCTGGCTACTTTAGTTCACTCTGCATCTGTTATAAGGAGATATAATACTCCTGGTTTCCTGACCTCCTGATTCTTGTATTTTACTTGAATAGATTCTCCTTTTCACTTCTTTGTTGTTTAAAGATAGTTTAATATTGTTTAAAGATAGTTTAATATTTATAGATGATTAAGTGTTTTAGCATTATAGCATATGTCATGCCTCTACTACAACTACGAATCTAACATTAACCATATAGAGCAGCGTTTCTCAACCTGGGGGTCGGGACCCCTGGGGGGGTCGCAAGGGGATGTCAGAGTGGTCACCAAAGTCCATCAGAAAACAGTATTTTCTGTTAGTCCTGAGCATTCTGTGTGGGAAATTTGGCCCAATTCTATCATTGGTGAGGTTTAGAATGCTCTTCAATTGTAGGTGAAATATAAATCCCAGCAACTACAACTCCCAAATGCCAAGATCTATTTCCCCAAAACTCCAGCAGTGTTCACATTTGGGTAGATTAAGTATTCATGCAAAATTTGGTCCAGATCCATCATTGTTTGAGTCCACTGCTTTCTAGTTGTAAGTGAACTACAACTCCCAAATTCAAGGTCAATGCCCACCAAACCCTTCCAGTATTTTCTGTTGATCATAGAAGTTCTGTGTGCAAAGTTTGGTTCAATTCCATTATTGGTGGAATTTAGAATACTCAAATGACAAAATCAACCTCTCCCCCACCAATCCCACCAATATACAGATTTGGGCGTATTGGATATTTGTGCCTAATTTGGTCCAGTGAATAAAAATACATCCTGCCTATCAGATATTTACATCAGGATTCATAACAGTAGCAAAATAACAATTATCAAGTTGCAAAGAAAATAATTTTATGGTTGGGGGTCATCACAATGTAAGGAACTGTATTAAGGGGTCACGGCATTAGGAAGGTTGAGAAACACTGATATAGAGAACTATCCAGAAGGGAAGAAGGAAAGAGCACATTGTTTTATAGTACCCCAGAGTTCTAAGGCAGAAGGAATAATAGGGATCAAGAACAGTTTTCACTCTCATGCTGGGTGTAATAACCCAAATCACTTCTAGTTATTGTTGTTTGTTGGGGCTATTTTGGGCCTTAGTAGGAAGGGAGGTTAGGGGACATTCTGTTCATCTTATTTTGACTATTTTAAGATGTTTTTTCACCTGAAAGATTGAAACAGAGCATTGGAAGGATTGGGGTAGAAATAGCTACCGAGAGGAGGTGTTTTTGCTCCATCTGATAGCTGATTGTTTGAAAAACTTGTATTTTCTCACAAAGCAATCTGAGTTTTGTAATAAAAAAAAAGCATCCTCAATGCAAAGTAATGTCTTGCTTAGAGTTCCCCATTTGTTTATCTACTTGAATGGATTTATCTCCAAAATTCTTATCTCCACTTTGTTTCTTCACGTATCAAATATAAAATGTTCCCATTGTAGAAGAGCATGTTTAGCATTTTATATTATGTGACCTGAAAATAGATTTGTTTTAATCACCAGGCGGTGTTGTACTGTGACATCACATTTTGTAATAAAGAATAACAATTCAGTATTGTTTGACTTTTTTTTTAATTGGGAGAGAAACAGGAAAACAAAGAGATAGTTTGTCATGTTTCCTGAAGCACATAAGTAACTTGTCTAATTTTTTTCTTCTAATGACCTCTTTGCAAGACACTTCCACTTGACCATCTGTAGTGTGTTATGTCCTCCTTATCCTAAGCTACTGTGTCTATTAAAATTATTTATATTATCAACTGAGTAATTTATTCAGGCAGACTAGGTATTTAAATTACCGCAGAGTACAAAAGTTATTTGTCTTAATGGCTTAATTGTCTGGCATTACCTCTGAGTATGGTGGATATCTTATTTAAATGGAGACCCTTCTTGTCTTTTTAACAGTTGACTGAGACATTAATAATCAACAAATATCTTTCTTAGACTTGACATTCCTTGTTAAATCTTTGTGCATCATGCTTCTGTTAAAACCCTAACAGCTAGGTCAGAAATAAGACCTTAGTTCTGAGAACTACTTTACAAATTGAATTTCAGAGAAGCTATGTGCATTATACAATGGTGCAGAGGTAGCACATAAATTGCTTCCACTATCCACTAACCTTCTGTAGTACTAACTTTTATGGTTCACTAAATTTTCATGAAGAATATCATTAGACTTTCTCATATTATTATTTTTTCATTATGTTAAGCAATAATTTTGATTTTATACCTAATTTGGACCTATTCTGCCTTTCATAAGTAGCTTGCCCTGGATTTAAAGATTAATTCCTTGCATTCTATTGAGTCATCATGGCCTTCACCATTCCTACATTACCTTATGTGATCCATTTTATTCAGGTTTCCACCCAGCAATAGCATCTGCTTTTCATTGTCGCTCTGTTTAGATAATATTGTGCTCAGCACTATAATTTTCTTCTGTCAGGACATACATGGTTGTGCCTGTACGTTAATATTTCCAGTAGCAATGTTAGGTAGGAAAGTGAATAGAGGTCTTCTTTAAACACCTTTTATATTTAATAGATAATTGTTTTTGTTTGAGAGCTGGAAAAAATAAGACCTCTCCTCCCCAAAATAAACAAACACAATTTCTGAAAAGATGAGATAAAAAATGATTTTGCTGTGAGTCATTGGCTTTTTGTGTACAAAACTGGAAGAAAAAAGATTTAATAAATTTATTAGTTCTGCAGAGGTTCTGTCCAAAGGGTCTTCTCTTTCTCTTGAGGTCAAGTTTAGGTAAAGGAAACATCCATGCCTAGACTTCCCATCCAAACGAGAAGTAACGATTTTAAGCCATTTAAAATATAATAGATTTGACAGTAAAATCTGTGTTAAATTCAGTTTCTGTCTCTTGGAAAGTCATTTTCTAAGACACATTTTACTTCATATATAGTAGGTAGTGATAAGGGGCAACACAAAATGACTTGGGAACAATGATGGTAGTGTTTGGAAGGTGGATGGAGGTGAGCAAAATTAGTATAGTGCACATTGATGAATCTTCGCACATTCCCTGACCTATCTTTTCAGTCTGTCATGTAAATGAGTTTTGCATTTACAACTGTCATGAGTTGTAAATGCAAAGAATGTATGTTTTTAATTTATTCTACTTACAAAGAAATGTGATTTTAATTTATTCTACACATTTATTCTTTGAAATGTTTACAAGGTTCATGTATATCACGTTTATATTGCTGTGTGTGTACAGGGCCGTAGCCAGAAAAAATGGGGGGAGGGGGGTTAAAAAAATTAGCAAACCATAACACAAAATAATTTAAATAGTATGGTTCATTCTATATTTTATATAGACTGAATTAAATCAATCTTGTCTCCTTCATGGGGGACTTCAAATCCTTCCCATTCGTTAGGCTTTGCCTACCAGTTGTGGGTGGGCCAACTTGGTTGCTTCCACTATATCAGCTATTGCTGCAAGTAATGACTGCGAATAAATTGTCAAAATTTGCTTGAGATAGTGCTTGCAGTTCTGTGTAATTTTTGTTCCTCATAGACTTAGCAGGGGAATTTGGTTAAACAGTTAAAATTCATGAGTAAACCAGCTTTTTTAAACCTGAAATTTGGGGGTGGGGGGGTGGGGGGTTAGGAGTTCAGCCCTGTGTACAGGTGCCTTCAGGTTGCCTATTGGCATATAGTGACCCCATGAATTTCATAGGGTTTTTCTCGGTAAGGAATGTTAGTTTCTTGGCCTTTTGGTTACGATTAAGTGTCAGGTGTAATACTCAGAAGAAATTTTGCCAATTGCTTCCCCTAAAATATAGCATGTAGAACCTGGTATTCATTTGTGAACTTCCACCTACATATTAAACAGGGATGACGCTGGTTAGCTTCCAATCAGAGAGGAACTGACACCTTCAGGGCATTCAAGCATTCAAGCACCGACTAGCATGTGATAAAAAAAAAAAATCAAGCTTTTGTTTTCTTCTTCAGTTCTGTTTATCGAAAACGGATAAGGAGCAATATGAAAAAGAAGAGAGACCAGAATCCCAACAGGAAATCTTACGAAGAGCTGCTAAAGACTTGCCTGTGTATACTACAACAACATCAAGAGGTAAGTTTATACAAAATGTAGAGCGCTCAGTATTGTTTCAAAGATACCATTGACTGGGACCAAGCATATGTCTTGATTTCTTCCCTTCATTGCTTTCTTCTCTTATCTTTCTGGCAAACCATAATTTGCCATTTTGTTTTAATGTTGTTTGCATTCTTGATTTCTGGAAAATTCAGTACCAGTTGTATATGATATTTTAATTCATTTTATGTTTAGAATCTTCTATTGAAAATTGCTTCACAATCTATTTACGGGAGAGAGTTTGGAATAATTGGCTTGCACAAATGGAATAGCTGTAGGAGGGAACAATCAGGCACACCTTATTAATAGTGTGACATCCCATCTTAATTGTCTCTTTGTCACGACTCTGACTTTAGCCTATTTAAACAACTAATGGATAAATATCTATTAGCTTTGAGTAGATTGATTGGTTTTCTGGAATAAAACTGGCTCAAGAAATATTTTTTGGTGTGCACACTTATTGTTTCTTATATTCCAGAGCAGGAGCTGTGTGAATGTATAGAAGCATGAAAAAGTCGCTGTTAAAACTTGATTGTTTACGTTTCTTTCATGTTTAGGACCTGCATTTCTTGCATTAATGTTGTTTTTAGTTTTAGTTCAAAAAACATCCTTTAATCTAGTTCAGTTGAGCCATCCACTACTTTTACAGTGCGCTTCATGTATTTTGAGGAAGCAGGCTATTGGCAGAGCTCTCCTTGCTCTTTATACATTATTCTTTATGACATAACATCCTTTTTAGAATCTTGAGAAATGATGTATCCTTTTATGAAAAGCAAAGACTTTGAACTCTGAATCGTTTAATGTATAAATCCCTATTTGACATTTTGATTTTTTGAAAATGTTTACAACAGCCATAAGATACTGCGATAGATGCCAATTAATCAAGCCCGATCGGTGTCACCACTGTTCTGCCTGTGATCTGTAAGTATCTGCTAGCTCTGGGCGGGTTGACCTACGTGTATTTACGATTTTTTCTTGATTTGTTAGCAACTGCTTCTGAAAGCACAGTGTTCAAGCTATTTCTTGTCAATGGGGATGAGATGGGATGGGAGTTCATATCAAATTGTTTTACCATATTATCAGAAATGAGATTAATACAGATCTCTCAGCAACTATGAGTCATTCCCTCTTCTACAGATGAAAAGTGAAATGAGAAATAGAAGTGGACAGACAATTTAGATCATTTTTTACTTCATGACAGTATAGATTATGGCTACATCATTTTCATAAGCTTTATTCGTTTGAACACCTGTCCACTGTATGCTTTTTGTACATTACGCGTACATTCCCTGTGCATGCTTATCATTTTGAGCCATGATGTGAAGAACTAGCTTTCTGGAGCATGCAGCTGATTTTCTCCTTTCTTTGAATGAGTAAGTAGGGTAGAAGGAAAGACAAAAGGTTCTGATTTTATCTTTGAAACACCTTGGCAAGGTGTGTGTGTGTGTGTTGTCTCTTCATTTCAACATCTCCAGGTGAAGCTGAGTCAGTCCAGAGACCTCTGATGTGCATTCTACCAGTCTCCCTCTCTATGGGTTCCCTTTTCCCACATTCTCTGAGAGTGTGGTGGGAACTGGGACTGATTTCCATTTTGTCCCAACTTCAGAAGCAATGCTTTATTCCCTGACACAACCCTGTTTGCTCTTTTGCTTCCAAAACTTACATGGCTATGGGTATTATTATTATTATTATTATTATTATTATTATTATTATTAAACTTTATTTGTACCCTGCTAGCATCTCCCAAAGGACTCGATGCGGTTTACAAAGGCCAAGGCCTCAACACAACAACAGCAAACAATAACAATACAGTACAAAGCAAATTAAAAACATAAGCAATAACAAAACATTACACCATTACGCAATAAAAAGGGGCCTCTCTTTCTTTGACATATTTTTCCAAGATGGCTGAGCATACTGCTAAGCAATCTCAGATTGGAGATACCTGCCATCTTCATTTTGCAGGAATGCCTCTGGGCCCCTTGTGGGCATACTACCAAATCTCTTGTATACAGTGGGCAGAGAAACAGTAAGGACAGAATGCTAATAATCCCTCCCTGTCAGACTTCCAAACATCATATACAGTCATGGTTGCATTTCATTTAAAAAGATGAAATTGGTTAGCTATCCCTTACATAACCTGTTTTATATTTGTGAATAAGGTGAGCTCTAAGCCATGGATTTTCTGTCGCGTACCTTGTCCTCTTAATCACTATATCCATTGGCAATCTATGGTCCACATTATCCCTTTGCATTTTATATGTGTATAGTATACATTTTCATTATAGCAAAATAATCTACTATGCAATGTGTGTGCAGTGATCCATTTAGCTAAAATGCTGCAGCCAGATGGTTAACTGGGGCTGCCTTTAGGGAGTATACAACTCTCACTGTAACAGCAGCACTGACTAACAGTCCATTATCAGATACAACACAGAGTGCTGGTTATAACTTATTAAACCCTATTCAGCTTGGGTCCAGGCTGTCTGAAGCCGTGTCTTCTATTTGGGCTCTAAGAGTTTTTGGAGGATGTCCTTTCCAGAACCATCCGGTGACAACAAAGAAGAGGGCCTTCACAGTTACTCCATCAAGACTTTAGAGCTTCTTCCTTAGGCTGACTTCCTTCTTTCTGCCTTCCATCATCATGCACATTTTTTTAAAATTAAAACACACTTTTGGAAATTAAATGCTTTAATGTTATACTTTTTGCTGATGTTAATATTTTAATGGAGTCCTTTTAATTTTTTTATAATTCTATAAGAAATGTAATTGCATTTTAATAGTAACGGTTTTATTCTATGAGTAATTTAATTGATGTTATGAGCTGTAATTATTTTATTGGGATTATTTTCTCTATGTATTGTGATTTGTCTTTTTGATCTGTTTGCTTTGATTTTACTTTTTAGATTGTACGTGTGATTAATACTATGTAGCTGCTCTGAGTTCCCCCTCGGGGGTTGAGAACGGCGGGGTAGAAATGTTGTAAATAAATATGTATATTGTTTGGGGTTTTTTTCTTCTTGTAATCTGCCTCGAGGGGAGAGGGGTGGGATATAAAGCTTATTATTAGTATTAGTATTAATCGCAGCCCCCAGTGGTGTAGCGGGTTAAACCGCTGCGCTGCTAAACTTGCTGACTGAAAGGTCGGCGGTTGGAATCTGGGGAGCGGGGTGATCTCCCGCTGTTAAACCCAGCTTCTGCCAACCTACCAGTTTGAAAACATGAACATGTGAGAGGATCAATAGGTACAGTTCCAGTGGGAAGATAACAGCACTCCATGCAGTCATGCTGGCCACATGACCTTGGAGGCCTCTACAGACAATGCTGGCTCTTTGGCTTAGAACTGGAGATGAGCACCAATCCTCAGAGTCTGAGACAACTAGACTTAATGTCATGGGAAGCCTTTACCTTTATTATTATTATCATCATCGTCATCAATTGGATTGTAATAATAACTCTCTGTATGTTCTGATTTATGGTTTTGTACATATCTTATCAGCACTTTTAATCTTGTACCCATTGCTCTGCTCTGGCCCGGCCCAGTTTTATTGTGTTTAGTGTATTATGCCTGTTGTTTATTTTGCTTTATTCTGTTTTTAATTGTTTGATTTGCTTAGATTGTATTGTTGTGTTGTGTGTTGAGGCCTTGGCCTGTGTAAGCCGCATCGAATCCTTCGGGAGATGCTAGCGGGGTACAAATAAAGTTTAATAATAATAATAATAATAATAATAATAATAATAATATCTTACCTCTGTTTCTCTTTTGTAAGCCACGTTGAGTCCTAGTATTGGGAGAAAAAATGAATTGATAAAAATGATAATGATTGTATACTATATTCTCTTTTGATATTATACTTTCTCATTACATAGATTGTTTTGTATTTGTACTGAATTTTGTTAGCACTTAGGGTGAAAAAGGACTCTGATTTTACTCCTTCTAGCCTCCTACACCTAAATTCTCATAGATGCTTTTTGTTAAAAGAAAATGAAAGGAGACATATGAAAGATTTGTATGTCTTACCTGTAATGTTTCATATGGCTCCTAATCTGCCATCTTCTGGTAGCTGGAAGTTTTAGCTATAGTGATATTACATTTTCCATGTTGCAAAAAGCTTTGAAACACTTATTTTAGAGCTATCCTTCACCTTACTTTTATCCCTCATTTCTCTCATAGTGGGACACAAGGTAGCTCACAAAAAACAGAAAATTACAATAAAAACACATATAAGGAAAATATACAGAGGTCGAAAATAAAATAATAGGGTTGTTGTTGGTTTTTTCGGGCTATATGGCCATGTTCTAGAGGCATTTTCTCCTGACATTTCGCCTTCATCTATAGCAAGCATCCTCAAAGGTAGTTGGAACTAGGGAAAAGGGGTTTATATATCTGTGGAATGATATATAAAAAGGGGTTTATATATCTGTGGAATGACCAGCGTGGTACAAAGGACTCTTGTCTGTTGGAGCTAGGTGTGAATGTTTGCTTGTTGGAAAAGGTACGTTAGGGCTCTTATATTGTTGTTATACTGAAACATGTCTTCTTTTTCTTTCTTTAGATGTGTTCTGAAAATGGATCATCATTGTCCATGGTATGCTTTTCTTTGATTTTTATTTTCTTCCTACTAAAAGGGAGGCAACCAAACCATGTCGATGACTACAAGAGCAAAAGTAGAACTGGAATCTTTTTGGTGTCTAGATCAGTATACATGTCTATTACACTAACTTAGGACTCATTCACACTATGCAATTAATTCAATTATTTGGGGTGCTGATTCAGAAAATTGCATTGGATAGATCACATCAGCTCTAAATTATTAAATATGGTTTTATGTGGGCGAGCAGATGGCGACTACTGGATGGCATATGTTCCGTTTCAGAAACTTGAGCTGATGTGGTCTATTCAATGCAGTTTTCTGAATCAGCACAACAAATAACCAAACCGAATCTAAAGTTGACCAAAAACTGATTCGTTATTCTTTTGGTACTAACGTTGGAGAGTGGTCCCTGGTCAAAGTGGTCCCTGGTCAAAAAAAAAAAAAAAAGGTTAGGAACCACAGGTTTAGATGAACCCATCATGTACTTTTTTTTCAGGATCATGACCTGCTGTTGTGGATATGGCAGCAAATACTATTTCCATCCAGGAAGGCAGTCTGCTGAGTTGTTTCCATCTTGCCTTGCGTCTATGCAAGACAGTCAATTTTCCAAGGCATCCCCCCCCGACCCAGGCCAGTGCATTTAGCTTCAGACGTATTCAGTCACTACAAGGGATGGCAGCTTCCCCTCTACGTCGTAATAGAGTTGGCTTTCCCTCCCTTCCCCATCATCACCAATTTATCTTCTTACTCCAGCCACTTCACTTGTATTAGTGTAGTTGCCATGAAGAAGTCACTGTCTCTGGGAGAATATGAATGCTTCATTGCATTGCAAAAATCTAAGTTTAGATTATATTTAGCAAGTCATATTTCTCTTAGTACACGCTTTAATCCTTTCTGTTAAAATGAGTAGGAGCTATGTCATTAACTTGTACAAGCGTAGGTTGCACTCTTTAAAGCATTATTATTTAACACAATTGACTGACAAACAGTTTATCCTCTATTGAATGCTATACTCCTTTCTCGTATAAGAATTGAAGCTTGAAATAAAAATGTTTGCAGGATATCATTACACTGAAAGAAAATGGAAACAATTATGAACAATCAAACTGTGCTTGTGTACATAGGCAGCAAGTACCATTTCTGGCCTGTTCATCTGGTAAAGTAGCGTTTTTAAAACCTTGATTAAAAGTGTAACACATACTGAGAAATAGCTATTATATACCCCACCTACAGAGAAAGTATTTTTATTTCATATTTTTTTACTACTTTTAGAATATATATTTTCTAACTGATTAACTGCCCTCTAGGATAATGTGGTGGTACAGCGGGTTAAACCGCTAAGCTGCAGAACTTGCTGATCAGAAGGTCGGCAATTCAAATGCACGGACAGGGTTAGCTCCCATGGTTAGCCCCAGCTTCTGCCAACTTAGCAGTTAGAAAACATGTAAATGTGAGTAGATCAATAGGTACTGCTTCTGCGGGAAGGTAACGGCACTCCATGCAGCTATGCCGGCCACATGACCTTGGAGGTATCTACAAACAACACAGGCTCTTTGGCTTAGAAATGGAGATGAGCGCCACCCCCCAGAGTCAAACATTACTAGACTTAATGTCAAGGGGAAACCTTTACCTTAAGATAACAAATCTGTAAAATGTTACCTGGCATTTCTCTTAGAAAAGGGATGGATGGTGCCTGGAGGGTGGAAAAGCTGCAAGGAACTCACTCTGCGCCCACCAGCAAAAACCAGCAGCAGTTTTCTTTTAAAGCAAGGCATTCAAATATAGTTTGCCCCCATTATCCACTGATTGAGCTATCAACGACTTGGAAACACGCAAAAACAAAAAATCCCAAAAGCAAACCTCTATTTTGCCATTTTGTGTAAGAAACACCCATTTACTACACAATTGTATAGTAAATGGGGCTTGAGCATCCTTGGGTTTTGGTCTCCACAGGGGATTTCTGGAACCAAACCCCAGTAGATATCAAGGGCCAACTGTATACAGTGAGCCTTGCTGGAGCACAGCTGACTGTTTAAAAGCTCCTTCCTTGGAAGCTTTTAAATAGAGGCTGGATGGCAATCTGTCAGGAGTACTTTGATTGTGCTTTTCCTACATGGCAGGGGATTGGACTAGATGGCCCATGTGGTCTCTTCTAACTCTATTATTCTATGAATTTTATTATTCTAACTGTCCCAATTTGGCAGAGACAGTTCTGATGAATCTTCTATTGCCCCACTTTTAAAATAGCTTTTAAAGTGTCCAAGGTTATTTCCCTCCTCCCATTTTGACTTTTTTTTTACCTTGGCTTATTTCACTTGCTGCACTCAATTACTTCAGAGGAGGAAGGGTGAGATGAGAAGCAGGCAAAATCTTGCCCTTCCCTGTTGACTCAGGCAAAAGGAAACTGATGCCATTTCTCTGAATTTGTCCATTCTTTCAAATTAACGTTTGCCATCTTACCCGCATTCTGATGTTGCTTATCCACATATGTTCTAGTTTTTCATTAGTGAAATGTTGGAAGGTATGCAGACTTTATAGACTCTGAAAGGAAGTTGCTGGGCTTCTATGCATCATGTGTTAAGGGGGAAATTCTGATTTCTCACTGTCATGGCATCTCTCAATTTCGGCAACAAAACAACAGTATCAAATGTTTGTGGGCTACAAAAATGGCAGAGGGGAAATGTTTATACTATAAAAGGAAATTGAAGCAATGTTCCCTTGTTTCTTTTCAGGGTGAATAACTGCGTGGGATTTTCCAACTACAAATTTTTTCTCCTGTTTTTATTATATTCCCTCCTATATTGTCTATTTGTTGCTGCTACAGTTCTGCAATATTTTATAAAGTTTTGGACAGTAAGTTTCTTCAGAAGCCCTTACCCAATTTGTGCATATAACTTAAGTTCATATAGCATCATGGTTTTTGTTGTTTTTTTTTTACAAACTATATAACCACAATCAGTTTGACATAGGGGAGGCAATACAGTTATTCCTCTTATTTAATTTAACGAATATTTAGTCTTTATTGCCATGGCCAAATATTACAATTTAACCTTTGTTAAAATAATTTCTATAGGTTATGCTGTAGCCTAGAAAATTATACACCGCAAGCCCAGTCATCTCTGTGGTGTTGCATGTTGTCTGAATGCTATGCACTTGCACAACTGTGTTTCAGGAAAGACTAACACCTATAGGATGCAGGAGAGATGCTTGTGTAGTGTGGGAATTGCTAACCGAAGTCACATTTTAAATGCTTCATTTCACAAGCTAGTAGCCTATGCATGCATCATGTGTAGAAAAATAATGTGTCTTTTCACCTAGAGTAAAACTAATGTATTAATTTTAATGATGCTTCCTGCCTTTTTATCTCCACAATATCCTACTGCCAGTGAGTCAGAAAGAGGCCGATGTTAGGACCCAGGTGGACTTCCATATGTTTGCTTAGGCAAAGGCAGATGTAGAGCTAGTTTAACTGCACATAGCCTGGCCCAGTGAACAAGTCTTTTGTCTCCAGATGCTTCCCATTTCCTGTGTGTTTCTCCCTGTGACACAATAAGCCAGGAGCTCTTTGTAGTGTGACAGAACGTGCAAACTATGGCTACCAGGATCAGTACAGGGTATGATCTTGAATCGCAGATTGTACTGATTTTATTTATGTACTTTCTGATAATTTCACAGGTGTGTGGCCAGATCTAATCTTGTTAGTAGAATTCCTTCCGATTAAAAATAAACATAGATTAGCTATTCAGAGTGAGACAGCTTAAACAACTAGGTTTTACAGACACATCTTTATTCTTTTAATGTTAATACATATGATAGTGGACAATAAGAAAGTACCCATAGAACTGTGCTAGCCATTATTTATTGAAGATTGTTCTTAAATCTGTATCCTGAGATGTTCTAGAATGTTATCATTGTACATGTCTTAAATTCTCTCTTTTGGGGGGAGAATTTTGGTCAGTTTTCATTCTTTAGATTTCTGAAACCTCTATTTCCATCTGTGTTTGACCATTTCTATCACAGATAGCAAAAACGTTAGTGATGTGGAAATCCATATATAACCAGTGAAGTAGCTTCAGGACATTTGAAAATACTCCTGATTTTGTTGGATTGACATTATGATATTAAAGTGAAAATTGTTGTGTCATGATGCAGCTAAAGTTAGCATTTTCTTATTTCTTTGAGTCAAAACAATACATTAGATTTCATAATAATAATAATAATAATAATAATAATAATAATAATAATTCATTTGACCCTATATCCCCCAAATAAAGATGGACCTAAATCCCTCAAGTTGGGACTGACAGGACTTTGTTCATAGTCAGGTTATAGTAACGTTTATTCTTAGCTTGCATGCATATGTTTTTCTTTGCCCTCCCCCCCAATCCTTTGCATTTATATTTTTAAAATTCAGTCAAACCATTTTTAGAACATAATTTAATTCAGAAATCATGGAACTTAAATGCCCACATTTGCAGGCTTTTCTCTTTCTGTTTTTGAAACCTTGAAAGGAAGAGTGACAAGTGTTACAGTAGTAATTGTGAGAGAAATTCCAAAAAGAATGTGTGTAGACATTTATTCAGTTATATGCACAGAATACAAATGAAGGGCAAGTTTTTAATCCCAAATTGCCATTGAAGATGGGGTGGGAAGCAGGTATCATTGGATACCTATTCCCAACAATCCCAGAACCTGTGGCCAATGACAGATACTGTAGTACTTCAGTCCACAGGTTCTTCACCCAGTTCAAATGCATACAGAGATGTGGCTTTCCTGCACCAGTTGAGTAGATTTTTGATGCAATTCCTTATTTCAAAGGCATACAATGACATTGCCCACAATTTTATTTGAAAAATTAAATACTTTGAACTATATTAATATTGCCCAAATAATCCATTTTTAAAATTAAGTACGTAATGTTGGCAAGAACATCATGTTTTGAAAATGTTTCAGCTTATAACTACTCTATATAATAACAATAACAACAACAACAACAACAACAACAACAATAATAATCAACTTTATTCCCACCATCATCTCCCAAAAAGGGACTTGGGGCGGGTTACAAGGCACTCCAAGTGCAGTATATAACATAAAATTATACTTGAGTATAAAACAATATCACATAAAAATTATAAAAACAATCACTCGTGTATGAATCTAGAAAGGTTAGTCAAAACAATCAACCCAAAAACCTGGATCACCTTATCCATGTCTCATTGAGTCCTGTACCTTAACTCTTATTTCTTTTTTTAAAAAACCCATTCCTTCTCAGTGTAGGGAGGCAAAAGGCAAGAGCTTTCCGCAAAGGCACAGCTTCTAGCATTATACCCCTGGGTAGCAGTGGCTAGAGGCGACTGGCCCTCTGAACTAGCATTGGTACTTTTTTATCTATGCAAGATGACCCTCAGCTTGTCCACAGAAGATTGGCTCCAAAACATGCCCTAACGTGAAGTCAACATGTACGTGTGTACATAGATTTTTCAAAAAAGTTCAGTTCAAACGTAGAATAACCATAGACATTAACTTCCATAAGATTTCTTAATTTTATGTACAATAGATTAGCTTCAGGGTAGATCATCAGGTGGTGAGGATTAGTGCATTAGATGATGATCGTAATTTTAATGGTGAGTCCTGAATCTCCACCATTAAAATTGGTTGTCCCTTCAACCTCATTGTGAAAACACAAATTCACCTTACATGTTCATTCAGTGAATGTAGACCTCCCATCGAATGCTGCACGCATTACACCTTGTGCACGCAAAAACCATTTTCTAACAGCATTGTACTGTTTCTCGATAATATCCTCAGAGGGGGGATATAGCTATTTAATAAATTGTCTTTATTTGCACAAAGCTTTGCCGCAGGAAATCTGCTGAGAATTGTCCAAAGGTAAAATGCAATTTAAGCTGAAGTCTAGTGTTCTAGTGTGTCCTTTTTATACATTAATTTCTAATACTGAGTCATAAGTTCACTATTTTTCTATTACTTCCTATATGATAAATAAAATATTTTTATACAATCGAAAGGTATTTGCACAGACCCTAAGGAAGAAACCATTGCTCTTACGTGTGTTGGATGTGCTGACAGAGAACTAAACGCATGTTAAAACCACCACAAATCTATGAATAAAGAGGCAATTCATGCACTTTTTTATTTTAAAGGTAATCTTTTAGAAAGAATTGAGTTTTGAACATAAACAACTACGGTAACTATAGTATTTAATATTTAATAAGATTTTTTTAAGTTGAACACATATTGCAATTGTATAACTAGAGTAAAATTATTTTTCTCATAAAATGATGCCAGTACTCAATATGAAAAAAATCTTTTGTAATGCTTGCGTTCTTAACAAATGTATTTCATTGGAATTGTTTGGGACTTAATTTTGCCTAAATATTTTAAGCTTTAACAATATTTTGTGTCTAATTTCCACAAGAGTTAGTGCGACATAGTGGTTTGAATGTTAAACTATAATTCTGTAACACCAGACTTCCAATTCCCAATTGGCCATGAAAATCCACTGAGGGACTTTAAGCAAGTCAGTCTCACTGCCTCAGACAAAAACACTGACAAACTCCCTCTGAACAAATCTTGCCAAGAAATCCCCATGAAAATTTCATCTTATGGTCTAGTTCATTGTCCTCATATCCAAGAAACAGGAAATCACAGGACAAGAAAAAAGAGCAGAGACTTTTAAAAGCTTCCAAAGAAGGAGCTTCCACCACACTCGGAGGGAGGGAGTTCCATTGTTGAACAGCTCTTACAGTCAGGAAGTTCTTCCTAATGTTCAGGTGGAATCTCCTTTCCTGTAATTTGAACTCATTGCTCCGAGTCCTAGTCTCCAGGGCAGCAGAAAACAAGCCTGCTCCCTCTTCCTTATGACATCCTTTCACATATTTATACATGGATATCATGTCTCCTCTCAGCCTTCTCTTCTGCAGGCTAAACATATCTGCACGTGTTCTTTAAGACACTCCTCATAGGGCATGGTCTCCTTTGATCTTTTTAGTTACCCTATTTAGAACAAACATTACATTCTGTTGTTACTCCCAGCTAGAGTTTGAATCAATGAAATGTACTTAAATATTGATTTAGCAAATTACCATTGATTCAATGGAACCTTTTTAATAGCGGCTAACAGTTGGATCTGAGACCAATTTGATTTTCCAGAGGGCCCTGTTGGATGATGTAATCATTCTTTGTCTGTTCCTGGATGGCAGGGGATTGGAATAGATACCCGTGTCGTCTCTTGCAATGCGATTATTCTATGATTCTATAAATTGTGAGTCCTGGGGAGGCTTTAGTCACTGGTAGAAAGTATCAACCTCCACAATGACCCCCTGCAAAAAGACATTCTTTATTAGGTCCTGTTCTTCAGCAAAAAAGACTTCTAGAACATCTTACAATTATTAATTTGACAGTCTATTGTTCTCAGACTTCGAATCTCAATAAGACATCTACGGAATAAAAAGGAAATTGCCGTCAGGGAAGGGATTAAGTCCAGCACTTACTGCCTGTTCTTTGCATTCTAATGTTTCCCAGTTCATTTTATGTTGACACTCTATACACGTAATTTTGACAAAGGATTAAAAATAAACTTTATGACTTACAGTTATGTAATTGTTTAATGTGATCTAACTAAGAAGTCTTTTAAGCAGACATTAATCGAAACTATGTTGTTCATTTGACTTGGGTTTTTAAACGGTTTTTATAAATTAGTTTGAAAAAGTATTGTACATTGTTTTAGGATCTCTGATGGCCAGAAAAATAATCAATGAATACTTTAAATAAGTATTCATTGATTATTTTTCTGACCATCAGAGATCCTAAAACAATGACCTAAAACAATGAATGGGTGAATATTATCAGCACTGTTCAATTGTATTGACAATTGGTTTTAACAGACAGTTGTGTATGAGAGTATCAGTTAACAGAAAACTGATGAGAAATGATTTATATTAAACTTTTTTCTTTTCCCCATAGAATGAACTCTTAGACACACGTGCAAAGTTCCACGTTCTCTTCCTTTTCTTTGTGGCAGCCATGTTCTTTATCAGCATACTATCATTGTTTAGCTACCACTGTTGGCTAGTTGGCAAAAACAGATCAACAATAGGTTAGTAAATGATGTGAAGAAGAAAAAAGACTGCTTTGGTTTGTTTTTCTACTGTTGACTAAAATAAATATTGCAATGTTTATGTCATTTGTTTATCAGACATAAGAAATCATTTCTTAACATAAATATTTTTGTGTTCTGCTAAGGTGTTTATAAACATTAGGGTCAAAAGAAATAGAAAACGATGGTTATCAAGTTTCTCCCATTAATTTGTAACGTGAGCTCCGGGATAAGTACATATATGTCTCTATTGGTGAATAAGTACTGTATATACTCGAGTATAAACCTAGTTTTTCAGCCCTTTTTTAGACTGAAAAAACCCTCCTCTGCTTATACTTGGGTGAGGGTCCTGGTGGAAAGGCATAGGGCTGAAGAAGGGTTTCTTTCAGCCCCACAACTTCCTGTCAGGACCCCCACCTCTCAGCACAGCAACCCAGCTCTCCTTCCTCTCCTTCTCTCTAGGTGCAGCACGTGTTTTCCTCTCTCCTTCTCTTGCCAGCAGTCTTCCCACTTTTCCTTATTTATATACCCACAGAATTTCCCCCAAAAATGTATAGTTAAAATAAACTATGATGATTATTGGAAAGATACATAAGCACATTTACACTGAAGGTTAGAATAATGATTTAATCAGAGTTGGACAGTGTTATCTTAAATTACAGTTCTATGTAAATATGCAAAAAACATTTGACCTACCGATGCCTCAATTAATATAATTTTATTGGTATCTGTTTTTGTTTTGAAAATAACCAGTAGCTGCTGCATTTCCCACCCTCAGCTTATACTCGAGTCAATAAATTTTCCCAGTTTTTTGTGTTAAATGAGGTGCCTTATACTCAAATATATACTGTATATATATTTAAGACACATTTTTATTGTGTTGCTATTCTCTTGAAAAGACTTTTCCCATCTCAATTACTTTATTTTGCTTTCCTGTATTATGTAGAAGCCTTCCGGGCACCGATGTTTCGGAACGGACCTGATAAAAATGGTTTTTCACTTGGATGCAGCAAAAACCTGAAAGAAGTTTTTGGAGATGAGAAAAAGTACTGGTTGCTACCCATTTTTACAAGGTATTCCTACTTTAATTTTTCAGATCTGTTTTAAAGGGTGAAATCTGGAGTTTAGTGATTAGGAGAAGATGATGAACATTTAACTTGAATTGGAGAGGTTTACAATTTTCGATGTTTACTGGTCTTGATTCAGCTACAGCTGCAACTATGGTCTGCTAACCTAGCTGAATTACTGCTACAGGCTTTTTGTAAAACTGTCCTTGAAGCCCAATCAGAAGCTTCAGCTAGAGAAAACCTAGGTACCAGGGGACTGGAGGGACTGCTGTGAGTGAAAAGGGTTAATCTGTGTCTACCAGACCATTTGCATGAATCAATATCTGAATTTAGTCCAATGTGCCAATTACTGTTCATCTTTACTCAAGTATCAATACTGTCATGCTTAATTTATTGTACAGTTTAGGAGATGGCTGCAACTTCCCAACGCGTCTGGTGATCATGGATCCAGAGCAACTTACTGTATCAAGCCAAAACGAACCTGCCAAAAGGTGTGGAGATTTTATTCTCAGGGATTTTGGTGGGAGCAAGGGACTTATTTTACTGAAACATTACCCCAAAGTAAGAAGAAATATATATTGGCATCTGTTCAAAATGTATTCAGAAAATTCACAATTACATCTGGCAATGAAACATTTTCCCCCTCTATTCATGATTGGTGAAAACCAGGATGACCTATATGTGTGGTCTCTTTTCCTTTTTGAGGAAAGAGGGGAGGTTAGCAGCTTGTTAAGGGAAAGTGCAAGCTGTAGATTTCCTTTCCTTATGCATGAATAAAAGGCTGAAATTCATGGAAGTCAGCCTATAGTTTGTTACATCTGAAAGGATGATAAACAATATTAGTTTCTTGTGTTGTCTGGAATATAGTTTATTTAATGAAGACTGCAAAGGCATGCCATAACAGTGGTAGATTCCAATCTTTAACAATAATTCTACTTTTCAGCTCTGGTCCCAGTCAGCCATTTCCTACTCGGCCACTCAGTGAATCCCAAAATCGACTGCTAGCAAATGACAACCAGTGGGCGGAAGCCAGTTCAGAAGACGAAAATGTTAAATCAGGTATTAAATGTAAGCCAGTGGGTGGATTACAATAACTTGTGTGGGAACATAATTTCAGTGTCCCATTGTTGTTATTTCCTCTAGCAGGGGATTAGATGTTCAATGTTTTATTCAAATTATACAAATTAACAGATAACTGTTTTCATAGTCTTCCTAAAGTATTTGTCATTTCAGAGTCTCAATGATGCACACTGTTCTCTCTTCTGTATCTTTTTAAGGTGTAAAAAAGCATATTGTAGTTTCACTGGAGAGCTGATCTTGGTTTCATTGTCCATCCTTCTTATTGTTGGGGAAAACGGTAAGACAAATTCTGCTCAAAAATAGAAATAATACTGACCGTACAAGATAATTGCCTTGGTTTTGAAAACTTTAAAGAAATAAAGCATAGATGATTGACCAGATATATTTAGTCTGGTTAGGAGTGTTACTTAAAGGTAGGAATGTGAATGGTCTGGATATAAATTAGTTTGCAATGCAATTGCTAGTTTCCAAGACAACTCTGATTCAGGCTGTTTGCATGGAAAGCGCCCAGCAGACTGGAGCTGTATTTGGGAGAAGCCTTCACTACAGTAACTATGTATAAGGAAGAAGAAGAGATGCTGAATGTTGATTAGTTCAATCTTGTATTTTTTCTGTTCCAGTTTATTGTCATACTAATTTAATTTGTTTTCCACATAGGTTTCTACAATATGTTTGTGCTTGGATATTAATTTTGTAAGGAAGACACTGATATATCAATGGAACAGTGCCAGCATGTTAACAGGATATGAAAAAATGAAATTCTTGATCGTATCCAATGGATGCTTATAAGCACTTGCAGAGTGGGACATTTAATGCCTTAAGATTCTTGATGTGCATTTTTGTAACACAGACTTATGCCACTACAAGGGCCAAATCCAGAAATGCCCTGCAAGGGCGGGCAAGACTCCAAGAGTGTAAAAACTATGCATTCCGGCTGCACTGTGGTGGAGGGGACTGATTCTGCAAAGTTCATGGGAGATAATGGTGCCATAGGAGTGAGGTGGGGGAATAGAGTTCAGCCACTGAAATGCACAGTACAGTTCGATGTGGCCGAAACTCCACCAGGTGGATTAGCAGCATGATGTCTTTTTGTTTTCTACACCACAGTACCACCAGCGGTACTGACAAAGTTCAGGCTGAGCAGCCGACCCCAAACCCTGGCTTTTTAGTCCTCTGATATTGAAGTTCTCTTCCTTCCATTTTACTCCGTTGCAATACATTATCAGACAAGGAAGGTTTTTATTTGTTTGTATGCTTCTGAATTATGGCCTCCCAGCAATATGGTACATTAGTATGATCAATTTGTTTTCTCAACCTTTTTTCAAAAAAGAAACAACCTTTTAATTTCTTGAAAACATGTTTAATATAAGCCATATCAGGAATGTAATTCAGTAATGTAATTTAGTTTCTTCCGCATCCTTGTCGGTATGTTTACTTAAATATTGCTTCTTAAGCTTTGTGGTGGTAATCTCAGTTACCAGTCCCTTCTGAAGCTGGCTGATTACTTAGTCCTCTTTTAGTCTCAAGGCTAAAGGTCATCCACTTATTTGTCTCTCTTTATGAGAAAGGAAACACATGCAGACTGCTTTTCATGAGGCTGGATTTCACAAGGATCCTTTACCAGGAACATTCCTTGAGTGAAGAATGTGCCCATAAAAGAGAAGAAGACACTTGTTCTATAGCGTACTTTGTTTTTCCAGGAGCCGACTATCCCACCAATGGCTTTGTTCATTCTGGAATGAAGTCCTGTTCTGTAGTCATAAATATATAAGCAAATAATGTTAGTAATGATGCAGACGGCTATGTAAGCTTCAGTTGGTCAGTTCATGAAGAGCAGCAGGTTACTGAGTGCATATCTTAAAGATATACTGAGAAGAGTTCATGTACACCCACAGCCCTCAAATAAGATGGACTCCTACTATCTGACGGAAGAGAGAGGCAAGGTCATCATGAGATATCCCCTTGGCTATATGAAAGGATGGCCCTTCATTCTGCCTTGATATGTACATTTTATCCTCTTTCCTAAATTGCACTTGATCTCCTCCAGGTTCACTGAACATCGTAAAAGATATTTTCCAGAGCGTTTCGGTGTTCTTTTCCCTTGTGATTCTTATGAGAGAAACTGGTTCTGCTTTGTAAATCTTAGGCAACATGGGTGGGAAAGGGGATATATGCAAAATGACATCTTTTCATACGCTTTACTCTCATGGATCAGTTTGTAAAATGAGCAGAAAGCTAAGAGTTTGCGCTACCTTTGTGACCAACCCAACTCATAGGTGTATTTGGTGCTGTCCTGTGCAAAAGGTACAGTCAGGCTCAGAGCTGTTGGTGCTAATGCTAACTTCCGCTCCTTTACCTTGACAAAAGGATTTGGTCCTATTCCCAACACTGAACTGGCACTCACTTGTGGACAAAGGCAGAAAAAAACTGTATGTGGCACATGAGCACTTTTCAGCAGATTCTCTAGCTCAAGGGGGGTATGACTAGGTGAGTTTATTGTTTGACTGTTTGTACTTCATCTGCCGCACAATTCTTTTATCAGCTAGGACAGTGGTTCTCAACCTGTGGGTCCCCAGATGTTTTGGCCTTCAACTCCCAGAAATCCTAACAGCTGGTAAACTGGCTGGGATTTCTGGGAGTTGTAAGCTTTGAATGCTGAGGCAGGTGGGGAAATCACTTTGCCTTGCTCATCCTGTTCTGAGTTCCTGTGACTTGATCCTCAGCTTCAAAGAGCAATAAAATGAGATTTAAGTTTGGAAGACAGCATACACTTATGAGGAGGTTGGGTTTGTCAATAAATCTACAGCAGCAAGATTTTTACAGTATGTCTCAGAAATGAAATGAATAGGTAACAGGGTTCTCTTTGTTAAGTGTACATAGGAATACAGGTCCATCTGCACTTACATAAATGTTAGGTGTTCACATATTTCTGCAAATGCATTCCCTTTTTTCACTGTTTGGGGGGTTTAGAATTATATTGTCAACATTTAACATTTTGGATTGTTATTCTGCAGTCCTTAGACCACTTTTAAAAAGTGACTACACTGAGTAGTGAAACTATCTGTATAATGAAAGGATCCACACATTCTGTGGGCCAGATCTCCCAGAAGCTGCACCGCCAAAAATGGGAAGTCAAGATGTCTGGTTTCTTAATTTTTTTTCTTGAAACTTGAAACAAGGAACATGCCTTGTTTTAAAGACTTGTGGTTCTGGGAAGCAATTCTTTCTTTAATGAAAAGATGTCCAGAGAACCTACTGGGTGCCACAGAATTAGGCAAAGAGCTACACTTCTGCTATAATAGATCAAAGAAAACATAAATTGTATTATTTAACACACAGGGCATCTGACTAGTATTACACAATTATACCAAAGAGAAACACGTGTATAGTTTGTTGTACTAGAAGATGTGTCACAGGATTTCATTAGTCTTCTCATCAAAACATTTGTTGGCCAGTGAGGAGTTTCATATTTAGAAGCTACTTATATGCGCATGTATTTTTCAGACTAGTAAGTACAGTTTAAGTACATTCCTGGCTTGTTCAGATTGACTTATCAACCATTGCTTTGTTCTAAATCTATCAAGACTTGCTGGCCACTTTTAATAGGGAAGATTTAAGTGTAGGATGAAAAGTGGATTTTTGAAAGAATTTTCTAGTGATTTTTACTCTAAGAAACCATACTAGAAAGTCTAGCCAGATTTCCAACTTTGTCTGTTAGTGAACTATTCTCACAATTGATATTTTCTGCAAGTAAATGAATCAGTGAAGGCCTGAGCATTGTTTTATCAAAAAATGTCAAGCATAATATCCAGGTTAGTTAGATCATAACTACTTGCTATGGCAGCCTTTTATAGTCTTTATATCCAATATGTGTGTTCCAAACATTACTTGAATCTTGCCAGTTGTAGAAAGTATATGACTATGTTTACAAATAAATTACAGAAGGTGGATTTGGGCAGATTATCCAGCAGAGAATTAAACAACATATTATTTGATTATGTATTATATGCATCTGGATTTTGGTACCAAAGCACTCATAAATTATATGAAATGAGTATGTTGTATAATACTGTAGGTTTGAAAATATCTGAAATGTGTAAATTCCACCAGAACACCAAGTGGTTTAAGGACTGCAGCCTTTTACCTCAATCCTAAATGCATATGCCTGGAAGAAATCCTACCAATAATCACCAGAGATTGCTTTCAAGGAAATGATTTAGGACTGCAGGCAGTCTGTTATGTTTTTCCCCAATGTAAATTATGTGGCCATTTGAGTGGCATCTTTAGCTTATGAGTAAGGTTGCCACATTCTGTGTGTTTGCCAGTGGGTATGTCAGATGCATTGCACTGTATTTATGACAAAGATATATGCAAGTATATTACTTAAATATAGGTATCTCCATTGTACTAAGTAAGCTTGCAAGTATTCAAATTTAAACTGGTATGAGGTTATTTAGAGGATATATAATGTGAATGACGCATCTGTTTATGTTGCAGATAGGAATATTCCTATGCACAAAAAACATATTGCCATTAATTGTTTAATATTTCAAAGTGACTTTTTAAATGGGCTTTTATAAGTAAATGACGTATACAAAAATACATATCATTTTGCCTGAAATTTTCATATTTTTAACTGCACCTTGTAATACCTTCATGTGTATTTTCCACCACTGTAATAATTTTAGATCATGATGAGTCTTTTGTATATCAAAGTTCCAACTTCCATTCATGTCTTAATTATAACTCCTGTTCAAGTTTTTTAAAAATGCATCATCTAAGCCCTTTGCCAAAGTGGTGATACGTTGATGGAGTATGACACAATGAACGCAAAGCAAATGAAATCAATAAATACCTTGAACATAAACTGGCTGGTGTAAACTACATTACTAATCAGTGGTGGAGGTAACCACTTTAGTTACTAGTTCGTGTGTGGTATGAATGACTAGGAAAACCATGGCGGGGGGAGACTTCAGAAGTGGGGGCGGGTCTGATTTGAAACACTACACAAGTGTGTTATACAAGTGGAGAAATGAAAAATAATCAAACAAAATTAAAGCAAATGAAATCAATAAATACCTTGAACATAAGCTGGCTGATGTAAACTACATTGCTAATCAGTGGTGGAGATAAACCACTTCAGTTACGTTCGTGCATGGTATTAATGACTAGAAAACCCATTTTTGGTGGGGAGAATTCAGAAGTGGGGGCGGGTCTGATCTGAAACACTACACAAGTGTGTTACGCAAGTGGAGAAATGTGTGGCTCCAAATCCATTTTGAGTTCCTACCCTATTACCTTGGCTCAAAGGTATATGTTGTATTCAATCACAAAGCTTCTCAGAACAACTTACAAATGACTGGTTTATCAGTTCCCTGCCCCCAGGCCTACAATTTAAATAGAACAGAGAATGGGAATAGTGAAGCATGTTGAAGGGAATCCCATAATTAATCTTTTGTCACCTACCAGTGGAAAATCTGTGGGTGGGAGAAGGTAGTCTTTACGTTTAGTGGTCCTAAGCCCTAAATGGCTTTAAAGTTGGATTTAACAATGCATTATAAAAATATCAATGGAATATTAGCTGGAGCCAGACCTTATATTCCCATACTGTTCTTGTGCAGAAAAGTTTGCAGATGGGGTACCATCCAAGTGCTAGAAAGTATGTGCAAGTGAAGACGTCTTTGTCTCTTGTCAAAGCTAGACGAAATTGTACTCCCAAGCCATGAACTTAATCTTTCAGAGTAAAACCTCCACATCCAAAACAACTCGAATCACCACCTCCTATTGTAAATAACAGCCCAACTCCTTAATCTTAATCTTCATAAATGAATTTAATTGTTCACATCCAGCCCAGTCCATCCCTTCTTTCACCCCACCAGATTTAACATTCAGAATTAATGTTTTAGCTTGAGAGAATAAACATCCCTACTGCCTTATGTGCAAGGCAGCTCTTGCCATGGTGGCAGAGTGAAATGGGGTATAAAGCATTGTGATATTGTTCAATGGAATACTGTGGTGCAAAGTAACAATAGCTGTTATGTGCTGGCATATCCACTACAACTTAGGGCAACCCTCTGAAAAAGAGGCTGTTATTGGCGCAATGATTTCTTCATTTTCCCCACTTCTTTGTTCAGTCCCTCTATCATGTAGATACTTATGCCAATGTCATATCAGGACTCCTAAAGCATATAGCACCCCAAGCAAAGGCTTTTTAAACATTGCAGATTGCAAGACTGAAAAGCTGTGTGGAATATTGAGACAGACATCTGGAGCAATCCCTTGGGATCCTGCTCCAGCTGCTTGCCTCAATGTTTTCAGACACTGTCAAAGCACTGTCCTTTCAATTTCCCATCTCAGAAACCATTTGTTTTGAGTGCTTCCAGGCCAAATTTGGTAATCACAAAAGTTACAACATTGTAAGTCTGGTTTACAATCTTATACATATTGAACAGGATGTCAGTGAACAGTACTAATTACTTTGAATAAACAGCATATGCATAAAGCATGCACCAGTGAAACAGATTCAACAGGAGACTTAAAGCTGGAGAGCAAAACATTTATTTACAGGCCACATTACAACTGGGTATTGCCACTTTCAGAAAATACAAATAGTCCAGTCAGTTCCTGGCCCCAAATGGTCCACCTGAATGCTTGGGTATGTCCTTCATGAACTCGTCCATTTCTTGGTCACATTAAGATGGCCCAGATGTTCAGTAGCATACCTGTGTTCAGGAAACTTGGATTTTGCTGCAGTCACAAGCGCTTTAAAATATGCTTGCCTACCTTCTCGGTTGTGACCATAGTCCTGTTCTTTTGTCATATATGGTTGGCTCAACCAATATTCATTTTCAGCTTCTATTTCCAGCTTCCGGATCATTCTGTTCTTCATGTGAACAGAAACAAATCTTGGTCTTTTGTGTTTACCAATCCATTGGCTCCCAGGAATTTTATTTCGAAGCAGCGCTATTGTCAGAAACATTCCTTTAAAACAAATGAGAACAACTTTGATGACATGCATACGGTTTCATTATATGTAACAAATCAATATTCTTTACCATTTCAGCCTACATGTCATGATAAGTTAGACAAACCACCTTCTGGTCTATTCGTGTATCAGTATGCCATTTTACCAATATGCAAAACTCCTGAAAGTAAGGGCCAAATTCCACAGTTGTTAAAGTCACTAGTAATTATCATAATTTTTAGAAAGTCAATTGTTGGTGGGGAACTCTGGGACCCAAACTGGGACCCTAAAATGGGGCACATTAACTTCAGGAGCAAGCATCTATCTCACCAGAATGATTAAGAACCACATGCTACGCTGGGGTTGTCAGTAGACACTGAATTTCTTTGATTCTAAGATGCATTTCAACCCCCACATATACATCTCTAAACAAAGGGTTCATCTCAGAATCAATGATGCTTCTTATACGTATATTTTTGGCTGGTACAGCTGGATTTTTATGTCTTACAACTCCTAATTGAAGATATATGTAATGACTTAGGTCCAGGTTATATGGCAGACCATACATGATCCTGCCTTCAGTAAAGACCCTTCTCTCAGTCACATCACTGCCACAAGAGAAGGCCTTTCCAATAGGTACAATTACATTTTGGTTTGTCCTTCCCAGGAAAGCCATCTGTGCTGTTCTTCTATCTCCAAGCAAATATCTTTTTGGGAGTCTTTCAAAACACAAAGTTTTGAAAAACTGGACCGATAGTGCTGTATTATTTTTAGTCTCAACTGTTTTAATTGCTTTTTAAACTTTTAAAGGAATTTAAGTGTAGTTTTAAATCATGTTAGTATTGTCACTTCTTTGTAAGCGTTTAGCCGTATTTATTTTAATTTGTAAGCCACCTTGACTCTCAGTTTTGGGAGAAAGGCAGACTAGAATGACAAACGGATATATGCTCCCTCAGAGAAGAACCACTGGATCATTACCAAGACCCAACTAGAACCAAATTCTCTTCTTGCACTGCCAAAGCAGGAGGACATTAACACAGCAATACCTTCAGAAGAGAATGCCTCTAGACCAAGGGTCCTCAAACGAAGGCCCGGGGGCCGGATGCGGCCCTCCAAGGTCATTTACCCGGCCCTCACTCAGGGTCAACCTAAGTTTGAAATGACTTGAAGGCACATAACAACAACAACAACAATCCTATCTCATCAGCCAAAAAAGCAGGTCCACATTTCCCATTGAAATACTAATCAATTTATATTTGTTAAAATTGTTCCTCATTTTAATTATTGTTTTGTTTGTGTTTTTATACTACAAATAAGCTATGTGCAGCGTGCATAGGAATTCATTCATTTTTTTTTTCAAATTATAATCCGGCCCTCCAACAGCTTGAGGGACTGTGACTTGGCCCTCTGTTTAAAAAGTTTGTGGATCCCTGCTCTAGACCATGGCCATATAACCTGAAAAAACCTACAACAACCCATTTGACAAAATGTTTTGTCGTTTTACATTCTTAAGTCAGAAACAGATATCCAAGCTGACCAACACACATTTTAGTGCCTCGAATGTTAGACCTGTTTCTGGGTATATTTGACCTGCTCAATACAAAAATGGCAGCAGTTTCCCCTTACCAGCTCTAATTCTTTGCGATACAGAATGTGCTATCTTCCAGTTGCCACCTGCATAGAAAACCCATGATCAATATATCTAAGAAACCAGAGCTGGTGCTATCCAATGTAAATTTCTGAATCTGCGTTCCAAATAACCCCAAGAACAAGACTAAAAAGCAAGACACCAAAAATTGTTTGGTTGCAGTGTGTTATTCTTGTCTCTGCTACATTTCGAGCTCTTTTATACATTCATACTTATATTTATATCCTGTAATAAACTTGAGCTGACATGCATTAACAATCCCTCCTCACTACTTTACCTTCACAACAACCCTGTGGGGAAAGGTCAGATTAAGATGCAGCAACCTACCAATTCTTAAAGCTACACGCTTGTGGAAGGTAAACTATTGAAGTATCTCTCAACCTGTGGGTCCCCAGGTGCTTTGGCCTACAACTCCCAGAAATTCCAGCCTGTTTACCAGCTGTTAAGATTTCTGCAAGTTGAAGGCGAAAAGATCTGGGGACCCACAGATTGAGAACCACTGCTCTGTTGTTTGGACACATTTTGTCCCTATCTGCATGAACTTTTTACTCCTAGTATTCCACAGCATCAATGCAGTTAAAGTTGCATCAGACTCCATTCCACAGTGTGGAAGTAGCTATTTATTTATTTTATTCATTCAACCAATCATAGAGTTGGAAGAGATCTCGTGGGCCATCCAGTCCAACCCTCTGACAAGCAGAAAAATCACATTCAAAGCACCCCTGACAGATGGCCATCCAGTCTCTGTTTAAAAGCCTCCAAAGGAGGAGCCCCCACCACACTCCGGGGCAGAGAGTTCTACAGCTGAACAGCTCCCACGGTCAGGAAGTTCTTCCTCATGTTCAGGTGGAATCTCCTTTCCTGTAGTTTAAAGCCATTGTTCCGCGTCTCCAGGGCGGCAGTAGAAAACAAGCTTGCTTCTTCCTATGACTTCCCCTCGCATGTTTATCATGGTCCTCATCGTGTCTCCTCTCAGCCTTCTCTTCTGCAGGCTATACATGCCCAGTTCTTTATGCCACTCCTTATAGGGCTTGTTCTCCAGACCCTTGAACATTTATCTCTCCCTCTTTATCTTTCCATACAGAGCCTCAAAGTGGCTCACAATCAAAAACAGAACAACTTAAAATATACAATAATAAAAAAAACTGTATATCGTTATATATTATTATATATCAATAGTAATTATATTTGGTGCAGTCGGTTAAAACACTGAGCTGCTGAACTTTGTGATCAAAAGGTCGCTGGTTCGACTCTGGGGTGTGGGATGAGCTCCCACTGTTAGCCCTGCCAACCTAGCAGTTTGAAAACATGCCAATGTGAGTAAGATCAATAGGTATCGCCCTGGCGGGAACGTAACAGCACGTTATACAGTCATGCTGGCCACATAACCTTAGAGGTGTCTATGAACAATGGTGGCTCTTTGCTAAGAAATGGAGATGAGCACCAACCCCCAGAGTCGGACACGACTGGACTTAATGTCGGGAAAATCTTTACCTTTACCTTATATTATCATATTATTATTATATATTATATAACATTATAATATTAGTATCAATATTATATGTATATACAATATATATTATTGGGATACCACAATATTAGTATTATGTATTATTATATTTTACTATATCAATATAGTATTATTAGTAATATTGCATATACTATACGATTACTATATTGTACTTTATTATTCCACAATATATGTAATACACTATATGTTTTCGAACTGCTAGGTTGGCAGAAGCTAGGGCTGACAGCAGAAGCTCACGCCGCTCCCCGGAATCGAACTTGCGACCTTTCGATCAACAAGCTCAGCAGCTCAGTGCTTTAACCTACTGTGCCACCAGGGGCTCCATGGGAGTTGTAGTTACTGGGATTTATAGTTCACCTACAATCGAAGAGCATTCTGAACTCCACCAATGATGGAATTGAACTAAACGTGGCACACAGGATTCCCATGACCAACAGAAAACACTAGAAGGGTTTGGTGGGCATTGACCTTGACTTTAGGAGTTGTAGTTCACCTACATCCAGAGAGCACTGTGGATTCAAACAATGATGGATTTGGACCAATCTTGGCAGGAATACTCAATATTCCCAAATATGGACACAGATGGAGTGTGGGGGAAATAAACCTTGAAATTTGGGAGTTGTAGTTACTGGGATTTACAGTTCACCTACAATCAAAGAGGATTCTGAACCCCATGAATTGTTTACCCACAAGCATAGCGAAATTACATATATTAGAAACCAACACTTTAGCATTGCTTTATTTTCTAGATCACCACACTGGGCCACAGCAACGTGTGGCAGGGGACAGCTAGTATAATACATAATTACATATATATAAGTTTCGATGCCTGTCATTCATTGACTTGGAAGTCAATTATTTCTAGGTTCTTGTGGGGTTTTTCGGGCTATAGGGCCATGTTCTAGAGGCATTTCTCCTGACGTTTCGCCTGCATCTATGGCAAGCATCCTCAGAGGTAGTGAGGTCTGTTGGAATTAGGACAATGGGTTTATATATCTGTGGAATGGCTGGTGGGGCAAAGAGCTCTTCCCTGCTGGAGCTAGGTGTGAATGTTTCAACTGACCACCTTCATTAGCATTTGAGGGCCTGGCTGCCTGGGGCAATCTTTTGTTGAGAGGTGATTAGATGTCCCAGATTGTTTCCTCTCTGCTGTTTTGCTGTTGTAATTTTAGAGTTTTTAATACTGGTAGCCAGATTTTGTTCATTTTCATGGTTTCCTCCTTTCTGTTGAAATTGTCCACATGCTTGCGTATTTCAATGGCTTCTCTGTGTAGTCTGACATGGTGGTTGTGAGAGTGGTCCAGCATTTCTGTGTTCTCAAATAATATGCTGTGTCCAGGTTGGTTCATCAGGTGCTCTGCTATGGCTGACTTCTCTGGTTGACGTAGTCTGCAGTGCCTTTCATGTTCCTTGATTCGAGTTTGGGCAATGCTGCGTTTGGTGGTCCCTATGTAGACTTGTCCACAGCTGCATGGTATACGGTAGACTCCTGCAGAGGTGAGAGGATCCCTCTTGTCCTTTGCTGAACGTAGCATTTGTTGGATTTTCTTGGTGGGTCTGTAAGTGGTTTGTATGTTGTGTTTCCGCATCAGTTTTCCTATGCAGTCAGTGGTTCCCTTGATGTCGGCAAGAACACTTTTCCTCTGGGTGGATCTTTGTCCTTCACCTCTGCAGGAGTCTACCGTATACCATGCAGCTGTGGACAAGTCTACATAGGGACCACCAAACGCAGCATTGCCCAAACACGAATCAAGGAACATGAAAGGCACTGCAGACTACTTCAACCAGAGAAGTCAGCCATAGCAGACACCTGATGAACCAACCTGGACACAGCATATTATTTGAAAACACAGAAATGCTGGACCACTCTCATAACCACCATATCAGACTACACAGAGAATCCACTGAAATACACAAGCATGTGGACAATTTCAACAGAAAGGAAGAAACAACGAAAATGAACAAAATCTGGCTACCAGTATTAAAAAACTCTAAAATTACAACAGCAAAACAGCAGAGAGGAAACAACCAGGCACATCTTAACACCTCTCAACAGAACATTTTCCCTGGCTCAGCCAGGCCTTCAAATGCTAATGAAGGTGGTCAGTTGAAACATTCACACCTAGCTCCAGCAGAGAAGAGCTCTTTGCCCCATCCCAGCCATTCCACAGATATATAAACCCATTGTCCTATTTCCAACAGACCTCACTACCTCTGAGGATGCTTGCCATAGATGCAGGCGAAACGTCAGGATAAATGCCTCTAGAACATGGCCCTATAGCCCGAAAAAACCTACAAGAACCCATTTAATAGATTATTTGTATTACAGGTATGGGTAACATCCAAGCCGGTCTCCTTTTGCGTCAACGTTACCTTAAAACGGCCTCCTATTTTGTTTAAACTCACCGAAAACGGAAACGCCTCCTCTTTCTTGCTCTCTCACTCTCGCATGCGAAGAAACAAGATGGCGACCAAGCAGGCCGAAAGCAAGCCACTTCCGCAAGGCTCTTCTCGACTCTCGCGAGAGCTGTCACATAACGCGAAGGGGTGGCTGCAGGCGGGGCCTCTCCGCAGTAGCCAATCAGAGCTTGCTGTCTATGCGAATTCAAAATTCGAGGCGGGTGGGGAAGAAGAGCCTCCGTTGCTGAAGGGAGTCCCTCAAGGGAAGTTGTGTGGAGGGACTCTTCCCAGTCCAGGGAGGCCTCAGTCCGGGAAACGTCTCTTGCCAACTTATTGCTACTTCTTCTTCTCAGGCGGGTGGGTTGTTTGTACTTCTGTGTGAAGAATGTAATAGACTATATATAATATTAATAATGTTGTAACATAATATGTTATATATATACTACAACTTATGGTGTAGTACAATGTATTATATAATACTAATAGTATAATATATTGGTACCACAATTGAAGGGAGATGTTGACAAGCTGGAATGTGTCCAGAGGAGGGAGACTAAAATGATCAAGGGTCCGGAGAACAAGCCCTATGAGGAGCGGCTTAAAGAGCTGGGCATGTTTAGCCAGCAGAAGAGAATTGAAAAGTGATATATGGTTTTATATTATATGCTCATGTTTTTAATTGTACTTATGGTATTGTGGTCATTGAATTGTTGCCTCTGTAAACTGCCTTGAGTCGCCTGCGGGCTGAGAAGGGCGGTATACAAATATAGTAAATAAATAATTTTTCTGCCAAAAAGTACTGGAGTCTCACCAGACTACAGATCCCATGATTCCAGAGCACTGAGCCTTTGCAGTTCAAGTGGTGTCAAATTGCATTCATTCAACAAAGTAGATGTGTTAGAAATGTTGGGAAATCACAAAACTTTGAAGTGCTGGGAATTGGAGGTAGTGTTAATAGTAATTGATGCTAGAGCAGGCATGGGCAAACTTGGTGCCCTCCAGGTGTTTTGGACACCCAACTCCCACAATTCCTAACAGCCTAGGAATTGTGGGAGTTGTACAAAATGCCTGGAGGACCCCAAGTTTCCCCATTCCTGCGCTAGACAATGTCTTGAAGGCACTCCACATAGCAATTATAATCCAGTTATGCATTGATCTTTCATTGCCCTGAATTCAAAGGATAGTTTGCCCAAGAGAGAGATGTACAATTTCTATATATATATATATAAACTTTAATATCCCGATCTTCTCACCTCCCTAGAGGGACTCGGACCGGTTTACAGCAAGGATTCAATGCTACTAATACAAGTTAAAATATCATACAACATACAAGATTAAAATACATATAGATAGAAGCACAGTCCAGATGTCAGCTTTGCAGACTTGGATAAGAAATGTGCACATGCCACCCAATTCACTCTCCTCCTCTCAGATGTGTCACTGTAAAGTGATTGCATATGAAAACAATCCTTATGCACTCCCTTTGAGGAGCATCTTAAAGAGCTGGGGATATTCAGAAGTTGAGAGGAAACATGATCACCATTTTTAAATATTTGAAAGGTTGCCATAAGGAAGAGGGAGCAGGCTTGTTTTCTGCTGCACTGGAGACCAGGACTTTAAGCAATGGGTTCAAATTACAGAAAAGGACATTCTATCTGAACATTAGGAAAAACTTTTTGACTGTAAGAGCTGTTCAGCAGTGGAACTCTCTGCCTCGGAGTGTGGTGGAGGCTCCTCCTTTGGAGGCCTTAGCAGTGGTTCTCAACCTGTGGGTCCCTAATTCCCAGCCACTTTACCAGCTGTTAGGATTTCCGGGAGTTGAAGGCCAAAACATCTGGGGACCCACAGGTTGAGAACCAACGCTTTATACAGAGGCTGGATGGCCATCTGTCAGGGGTGCTTTGATTGTGCTTTTCCCACATGGTAAAGGGTTGGACTAGATGTCCCATGTGGTCTCTTCCAGCTCTGATTCTAATCCTTTTGCAATTTTTTCTGAGTTTTTACTCCTTCTCTCCAAGTCTTATGTTTTTACTGGTTTATTTTCCTGTGCTTTCCACATATTATACCAACAGTGATCAGAAGATAACATTTTTCTTCAATATGGATGTGACAAGGAATTTCTTTGACAAACTGCACACCATCGCTCTTACTCTGGAGAGGGAGTCTAAGCATATGTTGCAGGTTTTTCATGGCAATGACACAGGTAAGAGAGCCAGAAATAATTGCTTATTTATCCATCAGATACTTAATGCCATTTGTTTCCGCCTGTGACTATGAAATTAGGATATCCAGGGAGACCGTTTGGCTGGCTTTCCGGGGTGAATAAATGTGGAAGTACTCTAAGGGGAAAGGAGCCTTCTGTTCAGAGCTTGCTCTGTTGATTATACGCACCAGTTCTGAATCAAGAGGAAGGAAATGTGCTCTTAGGAAATGTCAGTAACAAGCATTCATTGCATCTGCTTAGCTTTCTGCTTCCAGATCTGTATAGAATGCTATCAGTTTAGAATGGTCCCTACCAGAGCATCTTGTTCTGTGTCCAAACCAGACAAAATAAATCCTAGGGCCATGAAGAATTTCTAAAATCTTCCACATAAATTGTTCTGGAAAGTCCCTGTAAATACCCAAGCATTCAAAAGGATAATGCAGTGGTGCCTGTATGCCTGTAAGGCTGAAATAATGTGCCATGCCCAAGTGGTTTTCCATGGCTAAGCAAGGATAGTCCTAGTCCAGCATTCATATCTAAAGCATTGTTTCTCAAACTCTGCTCCTCCAGGTGTTTTGGACTTCACCTCCCAGAAATCCCAGCCAACCTCCCAGCTGTTAGGAATTAGGAGAGCTGAAGTCCAAAACATCTGGAGGAGCAGAGTTTGAGAAACACTGATCTAAAGGATTAGATCACTTAGAAGCTACTTGGGCCCATCTTGACAGCCACATCATAAGGAAGATAAATTGTTGTGAGGTAATCATTTTACATCACTGATCGTGATTCTAGTGATCAGTTAATTGCTAGATTTTACCCATTCTGCAGAATTTTGGGGAACCAATATCCTTTTGTAATATTTTTTTTTTGTTTTATGTTGTACTGTCCTTTACCAGTACACAGCGCAAACAACTGCCGTTTGTAAAGAAGGGATCTGGCTAAATCGGAGATGCTTGGACTGTGTGCTCTTGCATGGCAGAATGAGTATGGATAGTCCTTTGGGTTAACAATTCTCTGCTTGTTCTGTTCCTGAAAGGTTATTTGCGTTTCCCTCCTATAGGATTCAGTAAGACTTGATAACTGAAGTTTATTAACTCCGGAAAGGGACATTTGATTTAGTTAATGTTTCTTAGACACTAAGCCAGGGGTCCACAAACTTTTTAAAAAGAGGGCCAGGTCACAGTCTCTCAAACTGTTGGAGGGATGGATTATAATTTAAAAAAAAACATGAATGAATTCCTATGCACACTGCACATATATTATTTGTAATGCAAAAAACACTTAAAAACAATACAATAATTAAAAAGAATAACAATTTTGAGAAATATAAAGTTACTGGTATTTCAATGGGAAGTGTGGGCCTGCTTTTGGCTGATGAGATAGGATTGTTGTTGTTGTGTGCTTTCAAATAATTTCAGACTTAGGTTGACCCTGAGCGAGGGCCGGGTAAATGAGCTTGGAGGGCCGCATCCGGCCCCCGGGCCTTAGTTTGAGGACCCCTGCCTTAAGTAATATAACACAACCATGAAAAGTAAATAAAGGTAAAATGTTACATATGACTATAAAAACTGGTAGTTAGCATGTTTGAAGTAGATTCCTTGATCATGTTACATATGTAGAGAAGAAATGGTGATTAAAGGAGTTATGTCAGCCTCGCATCTTGTAAGAAGATATAATATCTTCCTATATAAGCTTTAAATATCTAATATTAACTAGATTTAGCTAGAAAATGAAATCTGGTTAGGTAGGAACAGTATCTGCTAGTCTTGTGCATTTGTATAGGATTGCTATCTGTTTCTGTTTGTTTATTTCATATGGCCCCATTTTCACTTTTGAGCGCCACTTCTAAAAATGGCCTTGCCGAATGAGCTTTTTTGTCCCACATCTGAAAAAAACGAATATTTTAGTCCGATGGGTGGCAAAGGGCAGGCAATCCTATACAAATGCTCCCCTTCCCTATAGTTTTAGGGCTGCTGCTGTTTCCCACTTCAGTTGGGAAACCTATGTTGCGCCACTTCTGCTGAGCCCTCTTCATTGAAGATCCTTGGCATGGGGCTGGCAGCTTATTGGTTGCTGGGGCTTACCCTCCACCGCTTGGCAACTGTGCAGGTCCAGAAAGGCCCTGGCAGGCCGGCGCACCTGCCAGGGCCTGCAGCTGAGCACCAAAGCTGCTTACTCAGCTGCAGGCTCAAAGTGCGCGGGCCTACAAGGGCCTTTCTGGGCCTGCGCGGTTGTCGAATAGTTGGGGGGGGGGGAGCCTCAGCAACCAGCGAGCTGCCAGGCCTGCACCAAGGATCTCCGATGAAGAAACCTCAGTGCAATCACTCTTCTTTCTATAACTATGATGCTGAAAAGCAGGCTTGTAGCAGGTACCCGCTCTCACCTGCCTTTGTTTTTGTTTGTTTTTGTTCCGGGAGGGGGTCTTTCATATCATGCCATCCAAGTAGACAGAATGAAACAGAAACACGAATTAAATGGATGATACAGATACCGGATCCATGAATAGTATCTGCATGAGGGCTATTTTATTACATTACATTTTTATTCTGCCGTCAGTTATTAAGATGCTTAGTTGTACTGTCTTTTTAATCTTTCATTAAAATCTTTTTTTAAAAGAATTTGAAGATGATTCTCCAATGACATATTTACACAACATGTATTCTGACATCAAGACACTAAAGGTACTTCTGGCTTGTCTCATCTCCGTTATTTTTTCTTCAAGCAATTTCATGGGTATAATTTGCTATGCTCATCTCTTAATTCCGTGGAAGGCAATACATGCAAATTTTTACTTATTTATATTGTGTTACTAATGGTACCTTTGCACCTGGGCAAAATGTTTCTGCATACCCAAGGCGGGATACCTGATTTTTCCCAATGTAATCTACCTCCTGCAGTTTACTGCACCACGTCCAGCATTTATCCATAATAATAATAAACTTTATTTATACCCCGCCACCATCTCCCCCAATGGGACTCAGAGCAGCTTGCATGAGGCCAAGCCCGAACAACAAATTACAATACAATAAAATACAAATTGCAATAAAATAAACGACATAACATTAATGTATAAAACATATAAGCATATAAACAATATACACAAAACATTAAAAAAAAACACTAAACCAAACAATGAAAGCTCATAAGTGGATATGAACAGAAATGCTTTCTAATTCCATTTAAACATTTTCAAGGATTGTGATGTGTTCTTTTTCCCAAAAATCAGGATCTGTACAGATTCTGTAATGTTTTGACATGTGTCCTACTTTATGTAGCATCATTGATTTATTTTAAATGTCTTAAAAAATCACCTTTTTAACTGACTTATTTCATGGGAAGCTAGTAGGACCAACATTTTAAGGGTTTCAATTTTTATCACTGCAATATAAGACTGAACTTCATTTTCTAGAAAATTTGAAGCTTGGTAACAAAAAGAACCACCTGGTGGCATTGTGGGTTAAACCGCTGAGCTGCTGAACTTGCTGACTGAAAAGTTGGCAGTTCGAATCCAGGGAGTGGGGTGAGCTCCCACTGTTAGTCCCAGCTTCTGCCAACCTAGCATTTCAAAAAGATGCAAATATGAGCAGATCAATAGGTACCGCTTCTGCAGGAAGGTAACGGCACTCCATGCAGTCTTGCTGGCTGCATGACCTTGGAGGTGTCTACGGACAACGCCGGCTCTTTGGGTTAGAAATGGAGGTGAGCACCACCCCCCAGAGTCAGACATGACTAGACTTAATGTCAGGGGAAACTTTTACCATTATCTAACAAAAAAGGCTGCCAGGACTAAAAAAACAAAAGTCTAAGGAAGGAGCTACAGTTAGTGTTGCAGAATTGTTGAAACAAAGGGATGGGATGTACTTGAGCTTCAAGATGGTTGAGGGCCATTTCCCTAGCTTAGGGTTATCATAGCTGCTCTATATGAAAACATGTTTGATTTATCAGCATTTTTGGAACACTGATATATCCTGGAATAAAGCTGGATACATAGAACACAAACACAACTTACTAAGTACAATACATTGGCTGTAACTTGGTTTTGTTTTTCCTGACTTGAAGAGTGAAGCTGACAATACACTTGGGAAGAGTTCTACAGAAAGAGATACTACTTATGACTTCATAAAAGCCAGCCAAGTTCTGATGAAAAGAAATGCAGGAGATCTTGAGGAAATAAGACAACTGTTCCAGAAATATGGTTACAAGCCACCCGCTCCCAAAGACACAGGTACCTTTTCCAAGACTAGCAGGTTTGACTGTTTTTAATCGAACCCTAGCTTTAAACTTTTGTTTTACTCCATTCTATTCTCCACTTTATATTTTATAATTCGCTTAAAGAATAGAGATGGAATATATGCTATGTATGTTTAGAAACAGATAAAGCTCACTAATGCAATGTCACTAATACAAAAGAGCTGTTTCATGCCACTGGGTTCGAGACTTATTTGCTTCTCGGAAAGCCTGTAAAACTTTTCTTTTCCGGCAAGCTTTTGATGGGTGAACAACCCAGGCTATCTCTGTCCTTGCTACCTATTGTTATTGTTATGGTTATTTTAAAACTAATTGTATTGTTTTAATCTATTTCTGTAAACCACTCCAAGCCAAATTGGGAGTAGCGGTATACAAGTTAAATAGAGAGAGAGAGAGAGAGATAGATAGATCTGCTCTTTTGGCCAACAGGGACTTTAACAGAGACCGAGAACAAGCCACAAGAGTCAAGACAAAGATCCACCCAGAGGAAAAGTGTTCTTCCCATATATCAAGGGAACCACTGACCGCATAGGGAAGCTGATGAGAAAACACAACCTACAAACTATTTACAGACCCTACTAAGAAAATCCAACAAATGCTATGTTCACAAAGGACAACAGGGATGTGCTCACCTCTGCAGGAGTCTACTGTATACCATGCAACTTTGGACAAGTCTACATAAGGGCCACCAAACGCAGCATTGCCCAAACACGAATCAAGAAACATGAAAGGCACTGCAGACTACTTCAATCAGAGAAATCAGCCATAACCTGATGAACCAACCTGGACACAGTATATTGTTTGAGAACGCAGAAATGCTGGACCACACTCACAACCACCATATCAGACTACACAGAGAAGCCACTGAAATCCACAAGCATGTGGACATTTTCAACAAAAAGGAAGAAGCCATGAAAATTAACAAAATTAAAAAACTCTACAATCATTACAGTAAATAAAGAACAACATTCAAAAACAGGGGAACTCCAGACAAGAAGCAATCAGGGACAGCTAATCGCCTCTCAACAAAGGCTTCCCCCAGGCAGTAAGAAGCCACACATTGAGAACTGCTTGGCCGTTAAATGCTAATCAAGGTGGCCAATTGAAACGTTCACACCTAGCTCCAACAGACAAGAGTTCTTTCTCCCACCCTGGACATTCAATAGATATATAAACCCAATTTTCCTAGTTTCCAACAGACCTCACACCTCTGAGGATGCCTGTCATAGATGCAGGCAAAATGTCAGGAGAGACTGCTTCTGGAACAGTGTCATACAGCCTGAAAAACTTAGAACAACCCAATGATTCCAGCCATGAAAGCCTTTGACAATATATACAAACCCAGAATGAAACACCGAATAATGGTGGACAGAAAGGATAGAGGGGGTTTTGGCCTCCCCAGTCTAAAAACCTATTTTGAGGCCTGCGCCCTGATCTGGGTGAAGGACTGGGCCACCCTTAAAAATGAAAAAATTCTAACATTAGAGGGGTTCAACTTAAGAGTGGGCTGGCACTCGTACCTATGGTACGGCAGGTCCAAACTGGAGGGAAATTTTGGGAATCATTTTGTTAGATCTAGTCTTCTTAAAATCTGGAACAAATACAGGAAGTTTTTTTACGTTAAAACCCCGCTATGGCTTTCCCCAGTCGAGGCGAAACAAAGACGCCTGTTAGGCTGGCAGCACTGGCCAACATACAAAGACTTGCTGATTAAAGATAAGGACAATAACTCGTGGAATCTGAAACCCCAGGAAGAACTGACCCGGAAGTTCAAAAATCTTACATGGTTGCAATACTTCCAGCTCCGAGAAACCCTCAAGCAAGATCAGAAGATCGGATTTGAAGAAAAAGAGTCACCCTGGGATGCAGTGTTGAAAATGGAAAAAAAGTCTATTACCAAGCTCTACAATCAGTTATTAAAATGGGAGACAGAAACAGAAGTAATTAAAAATTGCATGATCCTCTGGGCTAAAAATATAGGACGTCCAATAAGGCTACAAGAGTGGCAACTAATCTGGAAGAAAAAGTTAAAATACACTTACTCCTCAGCACTAAAGGAGAATTGGCTAAAAACATTTCATAGATGGTATTTAACACCATACAAGTTGAACCAAATGTATAAGAATATCAAGAACTCCTGCTGGAAATGTAAAGAGCAGCCAGGTACCTACTTTCATATGTGGTGGTCCTGCGCAGAGGTAAAAAAGTTCTGGCAAGGACTACATGAAGAAGCACAAAAAATTCTCAAGAGGAAATTCCCAAGAAAACCGGAGTACTTCCTATTAGGGCTGACGGACGAAGACTTCACGCTCAGCCCTAATGAAGACGTCCTTTGGATGTACCTTTCGACTGCAGCCCGAACAGTTCTCGCAAGGCATTGGAAAGAAGATCGGATACCCGATCTGGAAGAATGGTTAGTCAAAATCTCGGAATTAAGAAATATGGACAAGCTGACTTTCCTGCTGAAATCCAGTTCTGGAAGACCAATCAAACAGACAGACTGGTCCAGCTTTGACGAATACGAAAAAAAGAAATATGAATCTTAATGGATTGGAGTTAAAAAGAAGAGACACGGATAACTAACATGAGGAAACAGTGTGGTGCAGGACAAGCCAGGAGATTCCTAGTGAATCTCCGGAGAATAGTATAGAATACTCTGGATGGAAACTAAATGGAAGTCACCGTCTTCCACCTCCTTCTCATTGGGGTGGATGGCGATCAGTGTTTCTCTTTTTTATTGTCTATGTTTGCCTCGTAACCTACTTTCCCCCCCCCCATACCTTGCTCCAGCCCCCCCTCCCACCGCCCCTGCCCTCCCCTTTCTCCCCCAGTCCTCCATATGCAATTTTCGTACATTTGTATTTGTATTGGTATATTTATATATATGTGAACTCAGTTTTCTAAAATTAATAAAGATTTAAAAAAAAAAGACAATATATACAAATGTAGGATTTTGAAATATTTTAAAATCAATGTTGTCTATTTGTCAGAGTGTGCACCAAATTCTCTTCTTTTAAAAGCTACAGAGAATGAAACTGAAATCCACTCTAAAACTACAACAACTGATCACATGGAGCCAAAAGACCTTGGTTATTCTGGGAAGTCATCTGGCCCTTTTGATCCGCTGCAAATCCCGCAGCTTTCAGATTTTGGACTGTCAAAATACGCCCTACCAACATCCACTGTGTGCGCTCAATCCCAAGTACATGTGCCAAAGAAAGAATCAAGGCGGGACAACGCTGAGTGCTTTTCACCCAAGGCAGAAAATTTCCGTATCCATGGCCAGGACCTGTGTGTGAATGATGAAACAACATGTTTTATGGATGATCAAACCATCTTTCTACTTAATAATGCCAAGCATATTAGGTGAGTAGCATACTTCAATGGTGTATGTGTCTCTTTAAGTGAAAAGTTGTATTTGCAAATGTTTCACCATTAAATGCAGGTGAAGGATTGGTGATACTTGCTACAGATCTCACCAATTCAGCTGTAGATCAGAGTTCTTTATTTATTTATTTATTTATTTATGGCATTTATATACCTCCCTTCTCACCCTGAATTGTACTATACCATTATATTGTAATATTATTAGTAATATTACATGTAATAAAATATATAATTATAATATCTTATTATTCATAATAGTATTATATTGCATTACATTATAATATTATAAATATTGTATGTATATATATATAGATATATATATACACACACATACAATATATTATATTATATTACAGTACATTATTAGCATAGCACAGAAGACAAGGTAGAACTGTCCCCTGCCCACGGCTCTCTTCACTCTATCCCAGAGTGGCACTTGGTGCTGGGGGAGGGGTCCCCAGCTGATGACATATGCAGGAGACAAGATGGAACTGTCCCCTGCGGGGGGGGGCTTTCACTCTGGCCCAGAGCGGCAGTTGGTGCTGCGGGAGGGGACCCCAGCTTATGACATATGCAGGAGACAACATGGAACTGTCCCCTAGCCCCCTCTTCAATCTGGCCTATAGCGGCAATTGGTTTTGGGGGGAGGGGACCCCAGCTTATGACATATGCAGGAGACAACATGGAACTGTCCCCTGGCTCCTTCTCTCTTCACTCTGGCCCAGAGCGGCAGTTGGTCCTTGGGGGAGGGGTCCCGAGCTGATGACATATGCAGTAGACAAGGTGGAACTGTTCCCTGGCTCCCTCTATCTTCACTCTGCCCCAGAGCAGCAGTTGGTGCTGGGGGGAGGGGCCCCTGCTTATGACATATGCAGGAGACAACATGGAATTGTCCCCAGGTTCCCCGCTCTTCACTCTGGTCCATAGCGGCAGTTGGTTCTGGGGGAAGGGGACCCCAGCTTATGACATATGCAGGAGACAAGATGGAACTGTCCCCTGCCCTTCTCCCCCGCTTTTCACTCTGGCCCAGAGTGGCAGTTGGTGCTGGGGGGAGGGGTCCCCAGCTGATGATATATGCAGGAGACAAGATGGAACTGTTCCCTGTCCCCCGCCTCCCCGCTTCACTCTGGCCCAGAGCGGCAGTTGGTGCTGGGGGGAGGGGACCCTAGCTTATGACATATGCAGGAGACAAGATGGAACTGTCCCCTGCCCCCCGCCCCCCCCCCTTCACTCTGGCGCAGAGCAGCAGTTGGTGCTCGGAGAGGGGTCCTGAGCTGATGACATATGCAGGAGACAACATGGAACTGTCCTCTGGCCCCCTAGTATCTCTTTCTGAACATCATAGCTCTTGTCATCTGTGATAAGACTCAATGGAACAGACGAGAGTTGGATCAAACAACTACTAGAGTAGGGATGACAACTGTGTAGACTTTCAAAGAGTGTTTGTTGGAACTCAACCACATCCTGCACAAGTTTATAATCCTCATCAAGGAAATGGGCAGATGAGTTAGCTGGAGATTTCAGTTTTTTAACCTGAAAAGTGGGGAAGGGTTGAACCCCTAACCCTCACCCCTTGGCTACAAGCTGTGGGTCTGATTTCTGTGTTTTGCTTAGGCAAGCAAATAAACTGGGTGGATCAGCAGAGGTATCGACACCAAGCAAAAACAAGGCTGTATGTCAGCAAAAAAACGAAGTGTGTGGTAAGTCCAGGTATTCAAAATGAACGGTAATGCATGTGTGTCCAGGCAAAGCCATATGGGGTCCTGAACAACCTGAATCCCAACTGCACTAAGTTTGATAGTTCTGCAAAGTGAAGTTATTGATTGCATATAAATATGAAAAAGAATGCAGTAATGAAACCTAAAATCAAAGATAGATCATGTCCCTTCAGATGACTATAGCTTCCCTGGTCTTCACCAGGTTTTTCACAGTAAACTAGTGTTGCCCTGAAGAGCAAATCCTTAGACTGGATTACAGCCAAATTCTCCCCTTTCTTATCCTCTTGTTCTGGAAAATCCTGACACATTCATGGGTCAGGAAAAAGAGAATACCTCTTCTACAAATAAAGGTTTCCCAGGCATTTCAAAGCAACACATCCAACACATTTCACAGTTCATTGTGGAAATGTTGTGTTTCTGTATTATTTTTAGAAACCTGTTTGATAAACTAGCAGAAATCCACTTAACTGGATTTTACATACCCACAAAACACTATTTCAGAGGGAAAAACTGGCAGAACCATCTCTGAGTATTACTTGCCCAAGAAAACAGTACAAAATTCATGAGATTTCCATAAGGAAACATAAGACATACACACACACACAAGAGCATATAAAACCAGTACACAGGGTGCATGTGAAAACTCACTTAATACTCCTCACTTTTTGGAGGAGTATTTTTTATGGATCTTGAGGAGGCCTGGTCTCCTTAGGGATATTATTTATTTATTTATTTATTTATTTACTTTGCTTATATACCGCTGTATCTCAAGCCCGAAGGCGACTCACAGCGGTTCACAAACAGTAAAAACAGTAGAAACAGCAGTGGTTCCATGCAACATATAACAATTGACTTAACACATTATCCATAAATTACCAATAAGCAATTACAATGCACAATTATTACGAAAACAACCGTACCCAATCTTCTCATCATCCAAGCGTAGTCCAGGTTCGTCGTCCATTGTTCCATTCCTATGTTCCATTACCAGATTGCACTAAATTACTCAAACGCCTGCAAACATCCAGGTCTTCACCTTTTTGCGGAATACCATTAGAGATGGTGCTAGTCTAATGTCCGTAGGACGGGCGTTCCACAGCCGAGGAGCCACCACCGAGAAGGCCCTATCTCTCGTCCCCGCCAGCCGAGCTTGAGAAGCAGGCGGGATCGAGAGCAGGGTCTCCCCGGAAGATCTCAAAGTCCTGGTGGGTTCATAGGCAGAGATGCGGTCAGATAGGTAGCTTGGGCCGGAACCGTTTAGGGCTTTAAAGGCCAACGCCAGCACTTTGAATTCAGCCCGGTAGCAGATCGGTAGCCAGTGGAGTTGGCGCAACAGGGGGGTTGTATGCTCCCTGCGCTCCGCTCCTGTTAAAATCATGGCTGCCGAGCGCTGGACTAGTTGGAGCTTCCGAGCTGTCTTCAAAGGCAACCCCACGTAGAGAGCGTTGCAGTAGTCTAAACGGGATGTAACCAGAGCGTGGACTACCGTGGCCAAGTCAGACTTCCCAAGGTACGGGCGCAGCTGGCGCACAAGCTTAGCTGTGCAAATGCTCCCCTGGTCACCGCCGAAACCTGGGGTTCCAGGCTCAGCGATGAGTCCAGGGTCACACCCAAGCTGCGAACCTGCGTCTTCAGGGGGAGTGCGACCCCATCCAACACAGGCTGTAACCCTATGCCCTGTTCGGCCTTGCGACTGACCAGGAGGACCTCTGTCTTGTCTGGATTCAATTTCAATTGTTCGCCCTCATCCAGACCGTCACAGCGGCCAAGCACCGGTTCAGGACCTGGACAGCCTCCTAGTAGCAGGTGGAAAGGAGTGACAGAGTTGGACATCATCCGCGTACAGATGACACCGTACCCCGAAACTCCGGATGATCTCCCCCAGCGGCTTCATGTAGATGTTAAACAACATGGGAGACAATATTGAGCCCTGAGGAACCCCACAAGACAATGGTTGTGGGGTTGAACAGGTGTCCCCCAACAACACCTTCTGAGATCGACCCTCCAGGAATGACCGGAGCCACTGCAAAACAGTACCTCCAATACCCATCCCCGCGAGGCGTCCCAGAAGGATACCGTGGTCGACGGTATCGAAGGCCGCTGAGAGGTCCAGCAGCACCAACAGGGACACACTCCCCCTGTCGAGCTCCCGGCGCAGATCATCCACTAAGGCGACCAAGGCTGTCTCGGTACCATGTCCCGGCCTAAAGCCAGACTGTGCCGGGTCTAGATAATCCGTGTCTACCAAGAATACCTGGAGTTGTGAGGCCACCACACGTTCCAAGACTTTGCCCAAGAAGGGGAGATTGGAAACTGGCCGATAGTTGTCGAATTTAGTGGGGTCCAGTGATGGTTTCTTCAACAGCGGTTTTATTATAGCTTGTTTTAAGCTCGCTGGAATCTTGCCTTCCCGAAGGGAAGCATTAATCACCACCTTAACCCACTCAGCCAATCCCCCTCTGGCCTCCTTTAGAAGCCAGGATGGGCAGGGGTCCAGGATGCATGTGGTTGGCCTCATTCCTCCAAGTATCTTGTCCACATCCTCGTGTTTCACCAATTGAAATGAATCCATCAAAACTGGACAAGCAGGTGCTCGTGTTACATCCTCAGAGACTGCCATTAACATGGTTTCCAGACCAGAACGGATCAAAGCGACTTTGTCTGCAAAGAACTGAGCAAAAGCTTCACAGCGAGAAGTCGAATCGTCAGGGTTCCCACCTTGAGTGGTGGGATTTAAAAGGCCTCTGACAATTCGGAACAGCTCAGCCGGACGGTTCTTTGCAGATGCAATAGTGGCCGCAAAGAAGGCCTTCTTTGCGGCTTTTATTGCCGCGGCATATGCCCTTAAAAAGGACACAAACCGTGTTCGATTTGGCTCACTCGGATCCGAACGCCACACACTCTCTAGTTCCCTCTTCCTTCGCTTCATCGCTGCCAGCTCCTCGGTGAACCAGGGAGCTGGTTTAGCTCGGCTACTTGAGAGGGGACGTTCCGGAGCGATCGTGTCAATTGCCCTAGTCATCTCCCCATTCCAGAGAGTGACCAGGGCCTCGACAGGATCACCTACCGAGGCGGCGGGAAACTCCCCAAGAGCCATCAGGAATCCATCCGGATCCATAAGTCTCCTGGGGCGGACCAACTTAATGGGTCCTCCACCTCTGCAGAGGTTAGGGGGCGCAGTGAGCCTAAATCTGACCAGGAAGTGGTCGGTCCATGGCAACGGAGAGATGGTCAACTCCTCGACCCCACCACCTTCCTCCCATCCCTGGCAGAAAACCAAGTCCAATGTATGTCCTGCACTATGAGTGGGGCCAGATACTTGCTGGGACAGCCCCATGGTTGCCATGGCAGACATGAAGTCCTGAGCCGCTCCTGAAAGGGCCGCCTCGGCATGGACATTGAAGTCCCCCAGCACAAGGAGCCGCTGGGATTCCAATGCCAGGCCTGAGACCACCCCCGCTAGCTCAGGTAAGGAGACTGTAGTGCAGCGAGGTGGGCGGTACACTAACAGAATCCCTATTCTGTCCCGGTCACCCAACCTCAAGTGGACACATTCAAAATTTGTTGACTGCGGGATGGAGCCCCTGGTCAGAGGGATGGAATCTCTATAGACCACTGCGACCCCGCCTCCCCGCCCTCCGGATCTCGGCTGGTGCTGCACGGAAAAACCTGGTGGGCAAAGCTGGGTCAAATTCACGCCTCCCGCTTCGTCCAACCAGGTCTCCGTAATGCACGCCAGATCTGCCCGCTCATCCAGGATTAAGTCTTGGATGAAAGTTGTTTTTCCATTGACAGATCTGGCGTTCAACAGCACCACCTTCATATCCATATTCTAAGCACACTATTGAATTTTCAGCTTTCATGTTTCATGTCAAAAGTATGATCTTGCTTCTTCACTTATGGAGATGCAAAGAAAGGCATGTAAAGCAAAATAATATGGTTTAAAGACTTTGAATGCGATTTTCCTGCTTCTTGGCAGGGGGTTGGAATGGATGGCCCATGAGGTCTCTTCCAACTCTATGATTCTATGACATAAGAAATAAATCTGCTACTCCTTCCTGTATTTTTGCCAATAAACACCATAAAAGCACTAGGCAGTTTTAAAATTTCATTTTAAAGTGTTAATATTTTCTACTGTTGTGACAGGAGTATCTATTTTTCTGATCTGATGGTTCTGCACTGATACATTCCTCTTCCTTCTTTATATCCTTGTTATTATATCCCGCCTTTCTGTTCATAAAAAGCCCTCTAAGGCTAAGAAAATCTAGCAAAAGAATCTCTTATTTACAGCTAGGAACATAACAAAATAATGGCATATCCAACAAACCAAATGCTGAGCAATTGCAAAATCTAACCCTTTATCTTCTTCCTCCTTCTTAAAATTCTGGTTATCTCTCAGTATGCATATCCGTAGAGCCCTATTCTGTCATTTCTTTGCTTCCATCCCTGAATTTTTTTATAGAGGGGTGGGAAATGAACCTCTTATCCATTCACCTATCCCCCCAATCCCCTCATTGCCTGGCTTGGGGCCAAAAAGAGATTATATCTCCTGCTCCGATTGCTTATTTTTTTAATTGAAAGAAGACTACATCCCAAAAATTTCTTGATGTCTTGTTAAGATAAAAATTGTTGAGCAAATGGGCTTATTAACAAAAGACTCTCCTCATAAATGTATAGCACAGCAACTTATTAGTAGCAGCGTGACCCAGCACCAGTAGCCCATTGTGATAAAAAGAACAAAAACACACAAACCGATGTTGTCTCTTCCATAGGAGGCTTTTCTTTGTCGTAAAATAATATGTTTACACTATTTACAAAAATAAGGTTTTCTATAACACAAATAAAGTTCTTTATACTTCCTTCGTTGCTTCCACGCTGGGCTTCTTTCTTATGCAGATAAACAGCTTTAGTCTCATAGAGCCTCCTCTCACAATGAACTTTATACAGGAGCTTCGCACAGTAGCTTTTTACACACAGCAGCCTTTATACCGAAGCTTTACACATGAGACTTTTAACCTGGAGCTTCTCTTACCAAAGCTTCTCTCACCAGGCCTTCCTCATACGTGGCATTCTCATAGACTAAGGCCTATCTCACACAGAGGCTTCTCTCACAGACTAAGACCCACCTCACGCTGTGAGGCCTTCTCACAGACTGAGTCCTTTCTCCCACTGAGGTTTACCTCAGACTGACGCCTGCTAAGCTACAGGCACACATACATATATAACTGCAGTCATTGCAGCCATTCAACCCTTTCAGTGCTTGACTCACATTTTTGTAATTAAAAATACCTAGTTAATTTTTAATATTTCTAACAAAAATGGGAGAAAGAGGTGCAAGTTCTGGTTATCACCATACTTTTACAACGCAAAAATGGAATGTACAGTCCAGTAAGGAACCTATACAGGGTATCTGTGGAAAGCAGTCTCAGGATCTGAATGTAAATTTAGCTGTTCAATAGTATACTTAATCATATTCTTCATAGAGTTGGAAGAGATCACACAGGTCATCCATTCTGACCCCCAACCATACAGAAACACACAATCAAATCACCCCTGGCAGATGGCCATTCGGTCTATGCTTAAAAATACCCGGAGAAGACTCCACCAGCCTCCAAAGCAGCATATTCCACTGCCAAACAGCTCGTGCTGCCAGGAAGGTTTTTCTAATGTTTAAACCAGTGGTTCTCAACCTGTGGGTCTCCAGATGTTTTGGTCTTCAACCCCCAGAAATCGTAACAGCTGGTTCTGGGAGTTGTAGGCCAAAATACTTGGGGACCCACAGGTTGAGAACCACTGGTTTAAACCCAGCAGGTATTTCCAGCCTTTTCTCATTGAAGACTCCTAATACAGGGCTCTTCTGAAAAAATAGCCTATCTTCCTTTTACTTGATCCTAAGAACAGAAGTCTTAATTTGGCAAGGTCACATTTAAGAATATTCAATCAGCAGTAAGGCTGGTGGTGAAGTGGGTTAAACAGCTGAGCTGCTGAACTTGCTGACCGAAAGGTTACCGCTTCAAATCCGGGGAGCAGGGTGAACTCCTGCTGTTAGCCCCAGCTTCTGCCAACCTAGCAATTCGAAAACATGCAAATGTGAGTAGATCAATTTGCTTCTGCGGGAAGATAACGGCACTCCATGCAGTCATGCTGACCACCTTGGAGGCATCTATGGGTGACGTCGGATCTTCAGCTTAGAAATGGAGATTAGCACCATGCCCTAGAGGCGGACATGACTAGACAAGGGAAAACCTTTACCTTTACTTTACAATCAGCGTTTGTGTTTTCAGATGATGATTATATGGCTTCACCGGCTGCCCCTCAGTTCTGCACCCCTGGCGTGAAAATTCCCCGCAGGAAGAATATACCAAAATCCCCCGCGGCTTTGGATGTATCTGATCATGGATCAGGAGACCCTCTGCCAGATTCACAGTCTCTGCAAACAGAAGCTGAAGTAAGAAATGGGACAGCTTTGGTAAACTGAAATGGCCATTTTATTTTATTTCTCTTATCTCACTGTCTTTTTTTTTTTTTTCATATGCAGCAAAGCTGTGCCCCTGCAGTATCATCAAAGAAAGATCTTGCAAAGGGTGCTGATGTTCCTGTCCTGTATTCAGATGAATGCCTGAAATGTGAAGAAATACCCCGTCCTCCTGTAATATCAGACTACAGTAACTTACTCTGTAGTCCACCGCCACCTCCTGAAATAAGCGTCATTCCAAATCATATTTCTCAGGTTGGATACTCTCTTTTCTGCAACTAGCATTGGAGTATAGCATTTTGTTAACACATTTTAAAAACTTGTTCGAAGTATTTCACCAATTTATTTTTTTAGATTCTTTCCAAGTACAATCGAAATAGAGATGTACCCCAATATCTGGAGGAGACAAAGGAACAAACTGCTTCACAGGTTGAAATGCCACCTGTCCTTGGTATTGGGAGCAAGGAAAATTGGTAAGTTTGAAGCATGGAGATGTATATCCCTCCCTATTTATAACTTAATCTAGATATCTATTGAAAGTAATATAATCCTAGTGGTCCTCACATGAGGGTAAATAAGAAACATTTATCTGCAGAAATCTAGTCAGAAGTATAAGTAATTGTGGCTTTGGAGTGAAGGGTAGCATCACGTCTTAATAATCTTTATTTGTGGGCTCTTGCCCATCCACAGTTTCACCTTACACACGTGACATTTTTACTGTTAGTTCAATAAAAACAAGAAAATCTACCTGACTGTAAGAGCTGTTCAACAGTGAAACTTGCTGCCTTGGAATGTGGTGGAGATTCCTCCTTTGGAAGATTTTAACAGGCTGAATGGGCATCTGTTGGGGTTGCTTTGATTGTGCTTTACCTTCATGCCAGAGGGTGGAGCCCCCGGTGGCACAGTGGGTTAAACCCCTGTGCAGGCAGGACTGAAGGCCGACAGGTCGCAGGTTTGAATCCGGGGAGAGGCGGATGAGCTCCCTCTATCAGCTCCAGCTCCTTGTGCGGGGACATGAGAGAAGCCTCCCACAAGGATGATAAAAACATCAAATCATCCAGGCGTCCCCTGGGCAACGTCTTTGCAGACAGCCAATTCTCTCACACCAGAAGCGACTTGCAGTTTCTCAAGTCGCTCCTGACACGACAAAAAAAATGCCAGGGGGTTGGACCAGATGGCCATGTGGTATCTTCTGACATCTATTGGTAATATTTTAGTCAAGATCATAGTTGCTCATTTCAATAAATAGCACATTTGCTTTTATGTAGTTGGCACCAATATTATAGAGTAACTGCTTCTTTTCATTGTTGCATTTACAGGAAGTATTCAGGATGAAGATAATATGAGGCCTGGGTTGCTTTGTGATTGTAAATTATATATTCAAAACTGTTTTTAAGAGTTTGAAACACAAATGACAGCTAAGCAATTAAAACAATATGTACAACGAACTATTTTCTCACCATCAGATTTTACAGTTAAATAAAGAATATCTATTTGATTAAAATGAATGCACTTCTTGTACATTTTTCAGCAGTTTGTTTGATACAAACATTTGCAGTTTTCTCTGGGAATCTCCAAGGTCCTCCAATGTGGTCCTATGGTCAGCTTCAAGTTCTTCTTATATCTTGCAGTGATGGTTATTTGCATTATGTCCATATGAATGAAAAGTAGATTCTCGTGCAAAAAGTAGTCCTTATCTGTGTCAGTGTTTTATTGTAGCTAAACTGGCTCTTAATATGAGAGTTTAAACAAGAAAATGTCTCGGGATTAAGATGCTTAAGCATGTCAAGTGTCTACGTTTATTTATTTATTTTGTGTCAAAAGCACTGCATAAAATACTTTATCTAAAACTGATAAAATAGTATCATAAGCTGCAATGGACAATTGTCTGTAACCTTAAACAATTCTTACTCTGTGCATGAAGCAGGGCATTTGTTCTGCTCCACAGTCACACAAGGTGAAGGATTCTTCTATGTCAGTGGTTCCCAACCTGTGGGTCCCAAGGTGTTTTGGCCTACAACTCCCAAAAATCCCAGCCAGTTTACCAGCTGTTAAGATTTCTGGGAGTTGAAAGCCAAAACATCTGGGTACCCACAGGTTGAGAACCAGTTCTAGGTAATGACATTTTGCCAGGTTGTCTTTTGATCTGCCCACTCCACTTCCGAGTCTGTTCAGGGTCTTCCAAGTTGCCCATTCTTGGTTTGTCCCTGGAGGATGACCCTCTTGGGGGGGGGGGGGGATTGCCTGATTTTGCTGCCCATGGGGATATTCTTGCTGTTGCTAGAGGAAAATTTAGAGGAAGTCCAAGTGTGCACTTCACATGGTTCAAGGAAAATGTTGGTCAAGCAAAATTAGTTTTTATTTTAGTTATTTAATGGAAAATATTTCCTAGTCTTTAAACTGGAGGCTATTCATTAAATCTAATGCAACAGTTATTTGGAGATGCTCTTTACAGTTTCTAATCTTTGTAGTTTGTGCTTTTTTAAAGGCATTATTAGAAAAAAAAACAATTTCCATATTCCATATGGAAAAGAAAACTGGCTTTGTTATACATGGGAGTGCTACTATTATAGCTGGAACAGTGGCACCTAGAATTTTTTTACAAGAAACAGCTCCATCACGTAGGGAGACTACCTCATCCTTTGTAATGTCTAGACAAAAGGGCAAAGAGGAATAGGACATGCAGCAATAAAACTTTGCTTTTGACAAATTGTTCCTTTCTATCATTGTCAAGAAATATTAGAATGTTTTTAGAAGTCTCCTACAGAACCTTTTATTTTATCTTTAATGCTTGAATTGTCACAGGAAATTGTTGAAATACTATCTTAATGCTGAACCCTTTTGACCACAAATGTGGTATTTCAGGCTTGTAACTTGAAACTAAACCAGTAAATTTAAAGTGCCTTGGATGAGGCAAAAGTACACTCCCCCCTCCCTTAAAAAGTTACTATTATGACCCCTTATATGTTCACACCGGCAAAAACAGCCACTAAATAAGAACTCAAGATTATTAATACAAGATCAGAATAATGCAGTGGTTCCCAACCTTTTTTTGACGAGGGATTGCTCCTCCAACATTTGTACCAAAAGGATTAGAAATCAGTTTTGGTTAACTTTAGATTCAGTTTGATTATTTGGGGTGCTGATTCAGAAAATTGCATTGGATAGATCACATCAGCTCTAGCTTCTGATACAGAACATATGCCATCCAATAACGGCTATCTGCTTGCCCACAGAAAACCATATTTAATAATCTTTCATGGGTAGTCAGGCCCTCCTCTCCCGACATCCCCATTGCCTCGGCACTATAAGAGGGTTTCATGAGACCCGTCACTCTTGTTGCTGCATGGTTTTGAGGCAACGGTGTAACAATGGTGAGGCCACGGACCATATTTTTGTTCCTGCAGCCTACTGGTGGTCCATGGACCACAGGTTTGGGAACCAGGGTCCTTCAGATGACATTCAGTGGCATCATCCCTCCTTCCCTTACAGTTGCAAGAACATTGCAGAATATAACATGTAACAACTTCTGATAGTTTGGCCAGAGAACCATCCCTATCTCAGGATATATATGGATGGGGTCCAGCTGACATGTCACACTTGTGGAAGGAATAAGCAGCACTCTTATGCTAAAAAAGACATAAAGACCTTCACTAGATCTGTAAAGGCGTAGCGCTGCACCTGAGTTATGGCAAAAGAAGGAATTGGCAATAGACTGCTGTTGCCTACAGCTGTTTGACAGCTAGGAAGGAAATGGGCATGTCAAGAACAAGTAAGAAAAATGAACTGATAACAGCAAACAGCTGTTTTTTACTGTCTCGGTGGGGAGCAATCAAACTAGATTTATAAAAAGGGAGAGACTGTCAGTGATAAATGTGACAATGGGTTCAGCTACTGGGAGGAACACCATTTTATTTTGCTGGAAGTCTGAACTGTCAGTTGTCACTCCAGCTGGATTCCCTTCATCAAATGAGATTAAGCTACATGGCCAACTAGCAGCCCAACCCCAAACTGGGGCCCCTTCTACATTGCAATATAATCCAGATTATCAATGCAGATTATCCACATTATCTGCTTTAAAGTGAATTATAAATCTACACTGCCATATAATCCAGTTCAAAACAGATAATCTGAAGTTTATATTGCAGAATAGAAGGGGTCTGGGACTTAAATCATTAAATGTAACCAAAGCAGAACAAATCAGCTTTTGCATAATCAATATGTATTTTAACAACTGCGCTTCTGATAGACACATGTTTCCTTAGCATCTACATCTGGGAAAAACTAATTTTCCTTGAAGTTTTGACTTGGGGGATACAGTTACATTTGAAGATGCATAGGCACCAGTTAAATACTGTTCATCAAATACCTTTATCGTTGAAGTTTTCATAGACAGCCTACTATATTCTGGTAATTGTAGTTACATCACCACACTACTAAGGCAAGTATTTGCCTTATTTACATCCAGGTTTATTTCAAAGGAAATATGAACAGTGTATTTATGAAATACATTGATTTCTTTAATTTCACCACACATATTAACAATTAGTCATACAAATCCATTCCACGCCAATTTTAAAACTGCACACTTATTAATGGCTGCTGTAGCAATGCTTTGTATTCTTCACAAACACTGCAGAGTCCAATTTTCATCCATTAAAAAAAATTGAAAATATACGGTAACGCTATAAAAGACCATCAGTATTTTCCAGGCTTCATGAGTTTCCAAGTATTTTCTATTAAAAATGAAATATCCTCTAACAAAACATCATTGCAGGTGGTGTGGCACTGAAAGAAATGCAAACATTAATAAGGTCTCATGCGACCAGATGGAGGCGGTGCTCTATTTGGAGGAGTAATTGCTATGTCGAGGTAATCCCCTATATGGAACTTCTGAGACTGGAGCGTCATGGAGTCTTCTGTGCCCTTTCTTCCCGACATTGTGCTACCAATTTCCTTCACCCTGTAGAAAAAATTAAGACCAAAATTAAAATTCAACTTACTGTATATACTCGAGTATAAGGCAAGCAAATATAAGCCGAGGCACCTAATTTTACCACAAAAATCTGGGAAAATGTATTGACTCGAGTATAAGCTGAGGGTGGGAGGGAAAAGCAGCAGCTACTGGTAAATTTCAAAATAAAAACAAGGTACCAATAAAATTAAATTGAGGTATCAGTAGGTTAAATGTTTTTGTATATTTACATAAAACTAATTTAAGAAAGGACTGTCCAGCTCTGATTAAACCATTATTCTAACCTACTTCAATGTAAATGTGCTTATGTATCCTTCCAATAATCATAAAGAGCAAAATAAATGTAATAAAAATAATAATAGAATAAAATAATGAAAAGGTAATAACAACAGTAATAATAGAGTAAGATAATAAATGCAATAATAACAATAGAGCAAAATAAATATAATGATAGAGTAAATGTAATAAAAAATAATAGAGTAAAATCATAAATGTAATACTAATAATAACACAGTAAAATAATAAAAAAACTTTGACTTGAGTATAAGCCAAGGGGAGCTTTTTCAGCCTAAAAAAAGGGCTGAAAACTTTGCTTATACTCAGGTATACACTGTAAATTCAGGGCATTTCCTCATGCTAAATTAGATCACTGTTCCCTCTTAGCTAGTGTTGTATACTTTGCTCTGGCTGCAGCTTTCCAAAGGTCTTTATCGGTTTTGCTGCCTGAGACTTTTCTCAATGAAGATGCCAAAGGCTGAAGCCAGGATACAATGCAAAACTTGGAACTGCCACTTCTTTTGGACAAGAATTCCACAATCTACAAGCCAGCATAGCTGCCAGTCCAAAACCTAACTTTGCCAAGTTCTGATGCAATGCATGTAGAGGATGCCAAGACCCTTTCCTGGTTGTAAATTGGGGTTACAATCTCGTAAGTGCTTGCAGTTCATGTTTATGGTCACCTATGATCACATGTGACCCTACCAAACCCATCGTTTCAGCCTGGCCATATCTCAACTGAAGGGTTTCAAGTGCTGCAAATTAGGGCACTGAAAACAGATTTGAAGCACTCTGAGGAAGTCTGTTCTTGATACCCTCTGTATCAAAGAGAGAGCTGCAAAGGCATGATATACAAAAATGTCTGTCATCTTTTATGGGAGTGTTCTGAACTGCCTTACTTGAAACCAGTTTTGGGGAAGAATAATTCTTAAATCTGATCCTAGCACATTTCTACCCATTTACTATTTATAGCAGCAGATATTCATTTTATGGCTGCCAAAATATAAGCTGCATTTCACCTCTCTAGATGGGTACTTTCTTCTCCAGACTGTAACTTATGTTTGCTACTTTTTAACTAATACACTGGTGATCCCTGAACTATTCAGTTGCGACAAGGATAAAGACAAAGCATTTCTGTCCTTTAGCAATTGCAAATTCACCCTTGTGAAATCATTTCTTAGTCCAAAAAGTGGTCTATTTAATTAGTGGACTTCAAGTACATAATCTAGAATATTTTTGAATTCATGGTAAAGCATTATGAGCATTTCTTCACTAGGATTCACTATAATTTTTAGATTCTGCTTCTAACACATGTATTTGTTGTTCCCGCTGATTATTTACCTGTAACCAGGCCTTTTAAGATCTGGATAAACTATAGCAAAGTTGAAATGTGTGCCTTTCTTTCTTGCTTCTGGATAGACTTCTTTCACTAAACTGGTGAGTTCCTTTAGAGTTGCATCCATCCTGGAAGATAGAGAATAAAATAAAATATAGATATAAAAACAGTGAATTTTTACGTCATGCTATTAAGTCAAACCTATTAAAGGGGATGATAAACTGAAAAATCCTCTATCAGGAAAAGAATCTCACATTCAAGATTTCCATATGACTTAAGAGTTGTTCAGCCAAATCTTTTTACCTGGTTTCATATGGGAAAATAAACTAATGAATTATACCCAAACAATAACAATAAGCCAGTCAGAATTTGTCAGTTGCCATTCTGTCTTAAGAATAACAATTATTTATTATTTATTTATTTATATCCCACTTTTCTCCCAATCGGGGCTCAAAGCGGTGAACAAACATGTAAAGAAAAACTTACAGAGCATAAAAATAAGCATACTCATCACACCACAAACGTATCTAATAAGAAATTATAAAACTCGCCATGACATAATAAATACATGATTTATTATTATTATTATTATTATTATTATTATTATTATTATTATTATTATTATACTCCTTCAAAAATCAGCATGCAAATAAGGAAATAAAGATAGGGTCTCTGTAAAGCTCTCACAAACAATACTGCAGAAAAATTATGGGAATAATAACTTTAATCAAATTCAATTTAACTGATTTACAGTAGAAACCTACATAATTTTCTCAGAAGCAAACTTAAACATATTTGGCAAAAAATTATTTTACAAATACACTGAAAATCCAACCTTAATCCAGTACTAAATTTTAAGGAACTAAACCTACACTTAAGACACCTAATGAGGGAGATGACAAAAATTACATCTATTCTTATTGTCTCCTTAAATCTATAGCATAAGAAAAGCTTCATAAATTGGTTTTAGTCAGGTATTTACATTTAATTGTAGCTTAGGATGTCTCCTACAACAAGGGTTTGTAGGAGACATCCTAAGCTCCTTCATCTTAAGGAGATGGACTAATTTGCATGACGTCATTCTTCAACACTTAAACTACTGGCCAGAGAATCAGCCAAGCATTAAACAAGAAGTTAACATTCCAGATTCAGGTATTTTGAAAAACATATATGCTACAGTTGCAAAGGCAACAAATATCAAATAATCATTACCTCTAAATACATTGTTACATCATTACTAAAAAACTTAAGTGACAATGCAGAAGTTTCTTAAGCACTGTCATCACATTTCATGCCAAAAGGTGTACTAGCCAGCTGAGAGAAAAAGCCATAGCAAAATTGCCTTTTATTTTGTCACCCCATTTCTTTCGCACTGCCAACTAATCTCCTAGCGCCAGGAACCAGTACCTATAGCTCATCCTAATGTGAAGCCACATCAGAGCCTGGCAATTTCTGCTTTGGAAGAAATCTCCTTTTGGGGGAAATGCTACACAAGGTGTTCAGCTTGACCCAACAATTATTAGGTGCAAAACCAAAAGAAGTTCTGCATCTATACCTAATAGTGACTAGGGACCTCATTCCATTTGGGGGGGAGGGGGTCTTATTGTTTTCCTTCAATTTAAAGATGGAGTCCATGAACACTTAGAAGACGATTCCTCCCACTCTCTAATGAGATTAGTTCCTGTATCAATAACAATTCTCATCCAACAGATAACCCACAAAAAGGCCTCTGTGCAACAGAAAAGAGGAAGGTGTTAAGAGATGTGTCCCGGGGGGGGGGGGGGGGGGGGGGGTAAGTTCAGCACCGGATTTTCTCCCAGTATCTCTATCAGCATTGGATAAACTCTAAAACAACTAGGGTATGAGCTGAATGTATCCCACAGACTGACAAGTTGCCTTCCCTCAAACTAATATCTTAAGAATTTGATGAATATTATAAATATATTTTAGTCATAATACACAGTGGCTCTAAGCTATCTCAGCTGTGTGCCAAGTTTGGCAAAACAACACATTCTGTTACATTCTGTATCAGTTTTCCATAAAAAGGTAGCAGAGGTTCTGTGCATTCAACAGGGTAAGAGAAAGTATAAAAGCTTCACATGATGATAGTTTGCCTTTCATTAGCTATTACAGTCTCTATCCATTAAAAAGTAGGACCAGATGCCCAAGATCATGGCCATTTACCAAGTGTAGATCTGCAGTTCACTGGAGGGTACGTTTCCACGGGCAAACTCATCCATTCGGTGATGGCGTCCATTGTTGGTGGTGAAAACCCTCAGCAAAAGGGGGCAGGTCTGCATATCAAAATATTAAGCATTTAAAAAATTGCCAAGAAGATGCAAAGGACAAAAGTAGGCTGCATAACCCTTTCTGAGATATAGAACATGTTGCAGACATATACTTAAGGATTAAATATGAAAAAGTAGAAGAGAAATAAACATAGGTTATGCCAGAGGAATAGTACTATCCTGAGTGTAAGAGATTCATGGCAAACTCACTGTTACATCCACTGCCCTACTATTTTCAGCACCCAGCACAAAATGGGGTCAGTATTTCTGAATTGTTTTATTAAATTTTCTTTCTGATTGATTGGGATGACCTGACGCGCCCTTTCAAATTTTTGGAGTGTGCAAATACTCAAAAGAGCAAGGAGAAACCCAAATAATTCCATCCTGGAGGAGAACCGCTAGCAGAATAGCAAGGCAGCAACTGTTTGCCATCATATCCCAGGATGTCTGCAATTATTCTCCCTAAATGCAGACATTCCAACTAGCAGGTTGAATGAGTACACGCTTTGTTTTGTGTACAAAATTATTAAAAATCTTGTATACAAATCTTCAGCTAATAATAATTATACTGCTTGAGGTGGGTTACAACACAATTTGAAAACACAAACATTGCAAAAAAATTAAAAAACATACATATATTATTTAAAAATCCACATTAAATCTGCATTTCTATAAAAAAAAATTAGCCGCATATTATGTATACAAGATGTATATAAAACATCAATTAACTTCCTATTTAGACTTGGGTTCCATCACCGATATACTCGCACACACATATTATACACACACCTGTCCGAACTTATCTCCCTCTATGAACCCTCTCGGAGATTGAGATTGTCTGGGGAAGCCCTGCTCTGTGCTCTGGAAGGACCCTCTGACTGACTGAGAACCACTTAGGGCCTTTCCATACAGCGCTATATCCAGAATATCAAGGCAGAAAATCCCACATTATCTGCTTTGAACTGGAATATATGGCAGTGTGCACTCAGATAACCCAGTTCAAAGCAGATATTGTGGGATTTTCTGCCTTGATATTCTGGGATATAGGGCTGTGTGGAATGGCCCTTAGGATCCTTTTATTACATTCTCTTTTTAAAGGAGGTCATTTATCATGGAAGATGCTAAATTCCTATAAAATTAGAATACATTTTTCAGAAGTGTTTATAGCTGTAAATTCTGCAGGAACAGGTAACTTGTGGAGGTGTTCTTTCTCTTCCTTTCTGTTTCTCTTCCACTCATTTCTCTCTGGGCCCTTCCACACAAAATACTGAGGCAGAATAACCCACAATATCAGCTTTGAAGTGGGTTACCTAAGGGTCCTTCCATACAGCCCTATATCCCAGAATATCAAGCCAGGAAATCCCACAATATGTGTTTTGAACTGGGTTATCCGTGTCCACTCTCAGATAATATGGGCTTTTCTGCTTGATATTCTGGGATATAGGGCTGTGTGGAAGGGCCCTCTGTTAACCCAGGTCAAAGCAGATGTTGTGGTATTATCTGCCTTGATATTCTGGGATATAAGGCTGTGTGGAAGGGCCCTGAGTCCTCACTGCCATATAACCCAGTTCAAAGCAGATAGGTAAAGGTAAAGGTAATCCCCTGACATTAAGTCCAGTCATGTCTGACTCTGGGGTGTGGTGCTCATCTCCATTTCTAAGCCGAAGAGCCAGCGTTGTCCATAGACACCTCCAAGGTCATGTGGCCAGCATGACCGCATCAAAGCAGATAATGTGGGATTTTATTCAGCTGTGTGGGAGGGGCCTCTTTCTCTGTATTCCTTCCTATCTCCTTTAGCCTTCCTCCCATTCTTCATCTCTCTCTCTCTCTCTCTCTCCTCCCCTTTCTGGCTCTTGTCTCTTTACCTTCTCGCGGTCGATGGGCTTTTCAGGCTCTTTCTTGATCTCCTCCTGAGTAACGCGAGACTCCACCGCCATCTTGCCGCCGCCGCCGCCTCCTACTCCTAGGCCCAAGCCTTTTCTGAGAGGGAGACAAAGCCAAGGAAGCAAGGCCGAGAGCCCGAACCCCTCAAAAAAGGAGCGGGGAGAGCACAGCCGGCCCGAGCCCCCTTCCCCGCCTCGTGGGGCCCACGGTTTCCTTACAAACGCCCGGAAAACCGCCACAAACTTCCTCTGGTGGCTTTACCGAGGCAAGATGGCGGCATCCAGGAAAAATTAGAGCGGCTTCACTTGAGACCGCGAGCTCTCGCGAGACTACCCCTGATGTCTCGCGAGAGAGAAACTAAAGCGTGGGAATATATAGCTTGTTTAAGGAATCTAGAAAAGGATCTTGTTTGTGTTAGGATTCGAGCTCAGGACCAAAGGATGGAAAATGCTCATTAAATCGCATTAAAGTCTTATCACCCACAATTAATATGACTGATAAGGCTTTGGGGGCTTGTAAACCATGCTCCACTCTATTATTATTATTATTATTATTATTATTATTATTATTATTATTATTATTATCACAAAGGACTACCACCTCACCCGCCTCATAGGAAACCTGCTACAAAACAGGAGCTTTTTTGTTGAGTTTCAGGGCCAGAGAAGCAGATGGCGGAAACAGAAGAACGGCCTGCCTCAGGGGAGCGTGCTTGCTCCATCCATGTTCAACATCTACACAAATGACCAGCCACTGCCAGAAGGGACAGAGAGTTTCATCTATGCTGATGATCGTGCCATCACCGCTCAAGCAGGGAGCTTTGAGATGGTTGAACAGAAGCTTTCCGAAGCTCTAGGTGCTCTTACTGCCTATTACAGGGAAAACCAGCTGATTCCCAACCCATCTAAAACACAGACATGTGCCTTTCATCTCAAGAACAGAGAAGCATCCCGAGCTCTGAGGATCACCTGGGAAGGAATCCCACTGGAGCATTGCAGCGCACCCAAATACCTGGGAGTCACTCTGGACCATGCTCTGACCTACAAGAAGCACTGCCTGAACATCAAGCAAAAAGTGGGTGCTAGAAACAATATCATACGAAAGCTGACTGGCACAACCTGGGGATCACAACCAGATACAGTGAAGACATCTGCCCTTGCACTATGCTACTCTGCTGCTGAGTATGCATGCCCAGTGTGGAACACATCTCACCACACTAAAACAGTGGATGTGGCTCTTAATGAGACATGCCGCATTATCACGGAGTGTCTGTGCCCTACACCACTGGAGAAATTACACTGCTTAGCCGGTATTGCACCACCTGACATCCACCGGGAAGTAGCAGCCAATAGTGAAAGGACCAAGGCAGAGACATCTCCAGCCCATCCCCTGTTTTGGTATCAGCCAGCACATCAACGACTTAAATCTAGAAATAGTTTTCTAAGATCTACAGAGACACTCGCTGGAACACCTCAGCAAGCGAGAGTCCAAAAGTGGCAGGCTCAAACCCAGAACCTCAACCAATGGCTGATACCAAATGATAGACTCCCCCCTGGGCACACAGAGGACTGGGCGACTTGGAAGGCGCTGAACAGACTGCGCTCTGGCACCACGAGATGCAGAGCCAACCTTCAGAAATGGGGCTACAAAGTGGAATCCTCGACATGCGAGTGTGGAGAAGAGCAAACCACTGACCACCTGCTGCAATGCAACCTGAGCCCTGCCACATGCACAATGGAGGACCTTCTTGCAGCAACACCAGAAGCACTCCAAGTGGCCAGATACTGGTCAAAGGACATTTAATCAACTACCAAACTCACAAATTTTGTATTTTGTCTGTTTGTTTGCTTTGTTCTGTTAGAAATGTAATATAATTGACTGGTTGCCCTGACACGATAAATAAATTATTGATTTGATACATAACAAGATTAGTACACAGCAAACAAGATCACTATGCTGGCTTTTGTATTTGATCACACGTCGAATACTTCCCAAGTGTCTAGGATGTATCAGTGAATAATGCGCACAGATCCGCTTAGGGTGGCCTTTTGCAGCTAATAGTAATTTTGTCTGTGCTGATTGTTTTTAAGTGCAGGCCAAGATCTTTAGGCACTGCGCCCAGTGTGCATCACCACTGGGACCACCTTGACTGGCTTTTGCCAGAGTCTTTGCAGTTCGATCTTTAAATCCTCATATCGTGTCAGCTTTTCCAGTTGTTTTCTGCAATCCTGCTGTCACCTGGGGGGGGGTCGTGAGGGGGTGTCAGAGGGGTCGCCAAAGACCATCAGAAAACATAGTATTTTCTGTTGGTCATGGGGATTCTGTGTGGAAAGTTTGGTCCAATTCTATCATTGGTGGGGTTCAGAATGCTATTTCATTGTGAGTGAACTATAAATCCCAACAACTGCAACTCCCAATTGGCAAGGTCTATTTTCTCCAAACTCTACCAGTGTTCACATCTGGGCATATTGAGAATTTGTGCCAAGTTTGATCCAGATCCATCATTGCTTGAGTCCACAGTCTGGATATAGGTGAACTACAACTCCAAAAACTCAAGGTCAATGTCCACCAGTCCTTCCCAATATTTTCTCTTGGTCATGGGAATTCTGTGTGCCATGTTTGATTCAATTCCATCATTGATGGAGTTCAGAAGGCTCTTTGATTTAAGGTGAACTATAAATCCCAGCAACTCCAGCATTACCAAATGACAAAATCAATCACCCCCAACCCACCAGTATTCAAATTTGGGCGTATCGGGTATTTGTGCCAAATTTGGTCCAGTGACTGAAAATACATCCTGCTATCAGATATTTACATTACAATTCATAACAGTAGCAAAATTACAGTTATGAAGTAGCAACGAAAATAACATTATGGTTGGGGATCACCACAACATGAGGACCTGTACTAAGGAGTCGCGGCATTAGGAAGGTTGAGAACCACTGGTGTAAGCTTTTCCAGTTACTTCTCAATCCTGCTGTCACCTGGGATATTATTATTATTATATTTGGGATCTTCTTAATATAATAAGGAAAAGCAGACAATGCCATTCAAGAGCTGTGTCTTTGTGCATATAGATGGATTTTCTTGGTCTGCCAATTAAACCTGAACTAGCGAACCTGAACTGCTAGTTGGGGGATTCTGGGAGTTGTAGTTCAAGAAGAAACTTTCTCAAGCTCTGCACATTGAAACTGAACTGGAAAACCTGAACTGCTGGTTGGGAGTTTCTATGAATTGTAATTCAAAATGTATCTTTCTTAAACTATCCCCATTGAACTTGAATTGGGGGATGTTGGAAGTCATTAAACCAGCCAGAAAAAAAGATTACGCAGCTATTACTAGAGAGTTCAGATATGAACAAAATGACTATTCTGATGCAGAGCATTTAAAAATTGAGAGAGGATGTAATTTAATCCTGATGGGCAGAAAATTGATCTCTTGTGTACTTTTCAAAGCAGCTGTGTTGTCCTTTTGTTATGACAGTTTTACAGCTGTTTGACCCTCTTGTTTACTCTTCGGTCTGCACACCAACAGAGATTTTCCAGTCTCCCAGCATAAAGAAAATGAAATCCACATTGTGCAACTGGGGTGGTCCAACTGCAGTGATGGGTGGGCTGTATACACGGTAAATACCGTATATTCCGGCATATAAGACGACTGGGCGTATAAGACGACCCCCAACTTTTCCAGTTAAAATATAGAGTTAAGACAACTCCCATGCATAAGACTACACCCGCGTATAAGATGACCCCTGACTTTTGAGAAGATTTTCTTGGGTTAAAAAGTAGTCTTATACGCCAGAATATACTGTATATTAACTAGACTTTTCGTGGCCTGCCGATCTGTTTGAAACAAAGAGGCATAAATGACCACCATCTTTTCACAGAGAAGGCATGACAAAACTGTGTTAAGTGGGATTGTGTGTGTGTTTGAGCTTTAAGCATGTAAGAACTTCAGAAGTGTCTTTCTGGATAAGATCTGGGTCTGTCTAGACTGGTGTGCCTTACAAGAATCCCACCCAACAGTAGACAGATAGTATCCACCAGAAATCTAAGGCATGTGGGCCATAATCTACTTTCCGTTCTTTATTTGTTGTTTTCCTTCCATTTTGGCTGAATTTAAACCAAACTTCCCCAGTTTTATTGGGCAGTGCTTGGGAAAGTTACTTTTTGAACTACAATTCCCAGAATCCCGCAACCAGCATTTTAGCCTCTCCAGTTCAAGTTGAATGGGCAGTGCTTGGGAAACTAGAACTCCTAGAATCCCCCAACCAGCAGTTTAGCTTCCCCAGTTCAAGTTGAATGGGCAGTGCTTGAGAAACTACAACTCCTAGAATCCTCCAACCAGCAGTTTAGCTTCCCCAGTTCAAGTTGAATGGGCAGTGCTTGAGAAACTACAATTCCCAGAATCTCCCAACTAGCGGTTCAGGTTCCCCAATTCAAGTTGAATGGTGAAAACATGTGAAAGTTATTTTTGTACTATGCCTCCCAGAATCCCTCAACCAGCAATTCAAGTTTCCCATCTCATTTTGAATGGGCAGAGGTTAAGAAAGTTGCTCTTTGAACTACAATTCACAGAATCCCCCAACCAGCAGTTCGTGTTTTCCAGTTTAATGGGTGGCTCTTGAGAAAGTTCCTTTTTGAACTACAGATTCCAGAACCCAGCCAGTGGTTCAGGTTCCCCAGTTCAAGCTTAATGAGAAGAGCTGGAAAAGTTACTTCTTGAACTACAACTCCCAACATCCCACAACTAGCAGTTCACATGTAATGGGTAGAGCTTGGGAAAGTTAATTTTGAACTCCCAGAATCCCTCAAGCAGCATGCTTCATGATCTGGTTATATATAAGGTGGAGTTGGCACGCAAGAGAAAGGACAAGGAGGAAGGTTCAGCCTTTACGGTAATTCACAGCTTCATATGTTTATGGAGCCCCCAACAACTATTTGAGCCAGCTTACTATGTTTTAAAACTATAATTAGAGAGTCTGCAAAATATATGGTACCATCCCTGTTCAGCGTTTTACAAGAAGATTAATCTTTTGTGAAGCCAATATTGCTGGCATTTGGATCAGAGTCACAAAACTAATTGTCAAAAATGTGTCTGAACCTGTGATGTCAGTGGCTAAACACCTTTCCTTGGGAAACAGGTAACTTTGAACCAGAATGAGACAGTCCTAGCTGTCATTGCTTGCTAGGATTCAAAAGCTAACTGTGATTTAGTTTGTGTAAACATCATTTTATTATTGGATTGATTGATTGATTGATTGATGTATCACTTTTCACCCTGCATGGGATCCTGGGCAA